ATTGATACATGAGAGTAATGAACCTCCGTCGGGTGTGTATAGAATCGAGCACTGCTCGCTTTTCATAAAAAAAAAAGAAATTTCCATTTCAGTTTTTTTTTTATATCCCTTGCGAGAGAGCTTTTGTAATTGGTATACTTTACCCCCGCGAGTTTTTCAAGCTCGCGAGTTTACGTTTCCCCGAATAGGTCTGACTTTCTTGAGAAAAAAGCTCCTACTGAGCATTAAAATACCTACTCTTTTTATGATTATGATAATACCTATAAGAATAATCAGTCACATAATATTATGATTATATACATAAAGTTTGAGGAAAAAAATATTTTCGAATTCAAAATTATATGCATCAAATTGTCAGTATATAGAAAAAAAAAATTAGAGTACTCGAATTTAAAATGAGTTGTCAACAAAAATGAATTCTTTTTTTTTTTGGGGAAATCAATTTTTGTAATTTTCATCCACTTAATGAAAAGAATTGAAGGCAATTTGAAAGCGATTAAGAGAAAGTTCTTTTGAAATATATATATAAGAGAAAGAGAGTATTTAAAGCATTCAAAGAAACTTTGACATTTCTAGTTTCGAAAGTTTGTAAACCGAAGAAAATTCGTCTCGTTTTGAAAGGTAATATAACTCGGATCAAAGTTGAAATTTCTTAATAGATGTCACCTTAGCTCACAGGGAATTTGAGTTTTGCCGAGGCAATTTGTACTTGATCTCCTAAGTAATTTCAGGGAGTAAATGATTCATTTACGTTCCATCTCAAGTATAGCGATTATGCAACTTGCCAAACAGAGAGAGAGAGGGAGGGGAATCAAGGACGAGTTGTGGGTTAACGTGTTGTAAATGACGGGTTCGAAACCCATCACAGACCCTCAACAGAGTTTACTTGGGTGTCCGCCATGAAGTTTGCGGTAAACTAGTAACCCGATAAGCGGGACTATGTCAATGACCCAAGGTTTCCAACAGAGATGCAGATAGAAGGAGGAGTGCATTCTAGATGCGTCAGAGAATTGAGATTTCCAGTATCGTTGAAACGTTGAGGCTCAACGATCGCAGTGATTTACATTGCTCAGAGTTTGTCCAGCTTAACTGTTTCCAACAATTCAACCAAACCTGGTCCTCTATAAAGTGCACAATTTGAAACACATAGAGAGAGAGGGGAGGAGAAGAGAGAGAGAGGGGAGGAATAACAGCGATGGAAATGTTCATCCAAGCAAGCATTGTCAAGTTTTCGTATAAATTTCTCCTCGACGTAAATTCAAAAGCCGCAGTTCTACAATACAATTGCTTTGAAAGAGAAAGAGAGAGAGAGAGTGTGTGTAAGGAGTTAGTAGGCTCGAACATCCTTTTCGTCTATAGAGAGAAAAGAGGAGAGAGAAATGGTGGGATGCAATCTCTGCAACCTCTGCATCCCCCTGCGCAACCCTTCATCACTCCCTCGCATTTCCTCCTCCTCCTCCTTCTCTCTTGTTGAGTTTACTGAGGTTAACGCTTCACAAGTATGAGAAATTAGTAGTCCTTGTTTGTTTTGTCTCTAAGGACGAAAATCTCGAGAAAAGGAGGAATATCTTAGGAAATATTGCTCCCTCGAATCGTGATAGCAATTACTCATCACGTATCGCGCTTAAATAATATGCCATCTTTCTTTCGATTTTTAAATTTTCTAATTAGAAATATTTTTTTCAATTTATTATCAAATTATTAGTTACGAAAAACAAAATATAACACTAACCTTAGTTTCTGCAGTCGATGCGAATTAAATTACCCCCTGTTGGTACTTGTAAAAATCCTGTAAATAAAAAAAATTATATTATTATATGAAAAATATACTCAAAAAATATATAATTTACTATCGATTTTTATTTTATATAAATAACAAGAGGGGAATTTTTTGCTTTTTTTTTTTGTACTCATCTCGCGAACTAAATACTTCGAAAGCTGATACTCGGAAAAAGCATTGTGCAATTCGAGACAACTTTAAGAACAGACGTCGCGAAGAAAACACCGTCTATTGATTTAAAACGCTTTTTAAACGGTCAAAGGCGTAAAAGAGAAACCCTTGCGCCAGCATCAAAGTGAAGATCTCTTTAGTACCTGAACAAATTGACGGCATTTTTTATATATTAAGCTGATGCTTTTTTTCCAACACTATTTTCACGTCGACTATAGACGAGGATTAAGACGTTTATCCGATAATCAGGTGTTATTATAATCTATTTTATATTTTTTTTTTAAAAACTTGATTTTAAAACTTAATCTTTCACTTCAAATATCTATACCTCTCAATCTAATTTTTTTTGTATTAAGAAAATTTTTATACGTTTTTTTATTGATTATAAATAAATTATAATAAATTAAACTATTTACCTTAATAACGAATTTTCAGCATCGAGGAGATTCTTTCAAACTAAATAGCTCTCGGAGATCCCTACTTTCAAGTTAAATTTCCATTTAGAAAATTTGAAAAATAACCGTCAAAATAGACCGAGTTCTAAAAAGTCTGAATATGAAGAATTCTATGTCCTTGAAAGATAAGAAATCCTTTTTTATTTTTGCCCTTGTTTTTGAAGTATGTGACACCACCACAAGCCAAGGATAGAATCTGCAAAAAGAAAAATTAAAATTACTATCAGTGCTGTACTACACCGTCCGACAAAATTCAACTTTTTTTTGACCCACAAAAAAATCCAACATTTTTGAAAACTAGGACCCAAAAAAAAATACCCGTGTCTGACCGTTTTGCTACATCAAGTCATTTGTGGTTTTTAGGGGTGAAAACAGACCCTAAATAAAAAGTGACAATATATCTTTTAAAAATTATTAATATTTTATAAAACTTGGTATCTTAGGGTTTTCGGGGTCGCTGATTATTAATCTGATGTCAGATTTTCAAAATTCAAAATGGCGGAATCAATATGGCAGTCAAAATTTTAAAAAGTTATTAAATTTTTTTTTAAACCTTGGTATCTATGGGACCGCCATATTGGATCCGCCATTTTGAATTTTGAAAATCTGACATCAGATTAATAACACAGCCCCACAAAAAAAAAGTGTCATGTACTTTTGACCGTAATACCCTAACCCTATGTATTTTGACGCGCTGAACACGAATCCGATGTCCGTTTTGCTCCATCACGTCAGGATTTTTTTCTAACCTCAAAAAACATGTCGGATTTTGAGAAGTAGGCGATTTTTTTAAAAATTGATGTATTAACTTTAAACTTGGTATATGGGGGTTTTTTGTGTCGCTGATTACGAATCTGAAGTTAGATTTTCAAAATCCAAAATGGCGGATCCAATATGGCGGACGAATTTTGAAAAAATTTTAAGATTTACTTCAAACTTGGTATCTAGGGGTTTTTTGGGTCGCTGATTACGAATCTGATGTCAGATTTCCGAAATTCGATATGTCTGATTCAATATTAGGGAATTATTTTTAAAAAATTGTCAGATTATTATGAAATTTGGTATCTACAGGTTTTCTAAGTTGCTGACAAGTAACACTAGGGAAGTGCCATAAGCCGATTTTTCTGAAACTTGGCAGTTTTGTAGTTTTTTGAAAACAATTTGACACGTATGTTTTGTTTTTCCCCAAAAGCTGATTTATGGGGGGGAACTACCCCTTGAATTTTTTTTTTGGTAGGGGGACATTATTTTACGAAATTTTTTAAAAATTAATGTGCAATAGTGTATCTGGGGGTTTTTTGGGTCGCAGATTACGAATCTGATGTCAGATTTCAAAAATTCAAAATGGCATATCCAACATGGACTTCTATCGGCCATATTAGATACGCCATATTAGATTTGGGTCCTAATTTCCGAAAATGTTAAATTTTTTTGTGAGTCAAAAAGTGTGTCGAACGGTGCTACATATTTGTAATATAGAAAGCTGTAAAAAATTTCATTTCTAAATTTGACAATAATAAGTTTTTTTTCTGAAAAAAAAACACTTGAGTATCTCTTTATAGTGTTAAGAAATTTATTCTCTAGAAAGTCTCTCAAAAGCCACCATATGCTAGTGGAAATTGGTTAAAGAATTTTTAATTAAAAACAGTAATACGACTCACCTAACGACCATTCCTTAATTACAATAGTCGTAGGTTGGAAAGCGAGCAGAAAGAATAGAAAAATGTAAAAAAAAAATCCATATATTATTTCTCTCGATTTAATAATATATACAAAATTTTAATTTTATAAAAATTCCTTAGTTTTAAGTAAGTAAATAAAATAATTTATATTTAAACAATTAATAATTGTTTTATATAAATGCAATTTTTAAACACAATTTACAAAAGAATAAAAAAAATTGTTAGTTTATTTTTTTAAAATCAATTTTGCGGCTAAAACTCACTATATGACAATGTTTCGTAAACATTGTTTCGTGTTCGAGGAAAACCAAGCGTTCATTTACAATACATGTTCTACCTCGAGGCTATGAAAAACATATATTTGAACAAAAGATATACGAAGAGAAACAAGAGAAATAAACAGGAAAAAAAAAAAGTTATAATTCAAAAAAGAAAACAAAACAAGTAATTCCTTCTCTAATTTGCACAATTATAAACAATGATTTTAAAAAAAATTTTTTAAAATTTTTTTTAATTAAAAAAACTTAGATGAAAAAGGAGAAAAAGAAATAAAGAAAGTTTAAAAGTTTATACATCGGGAAAGTGACATTATATGGTGATAGTTTAATACGGTTATTATGCACTTCACGGTGTCTCTCGAGATTACGTGATCATCCACCTAAACCTGAAAAGCCGTAGGTCTTCTCTTCCCATTGCGACTAAGTAAGAAGGGGGGTGAGGGGGTGAGGGGGGACGCTTAAAAGATTCAGGGGCACTCGATTGAAAAAGTTGGCGAATTGCTGGGACTTCGTGCTCTGCTTACATGTTATGTTACTCCAAAAAAAAAACCCTGTTTCTTTTCAAAAAAAAAATGCTTTTTTCAAATATTTATAAAAAAGAAAATTTAAATTAAAATTTTTTTGGTTTTTACAGACAACGTGCCTAACAGAACTGCCGGATGTGGCGCCGTGCAATGGTACTGTGCGGCTTCCACCAACATGCGAGGAATCTCCTAGTAGCGGAAGTAGCAAGGAACGCAGAGATGAGAGTCCTCGGCGGAAATGTCGAGTTCTAGCACCTATCTTGCTTTTGGTGGCAGCCTTGCTACTCGGAGGCCTCTGTCTACCATTGTTACTACAATCCTCCCCTGTCACGCATCAACAACGATTGGATGTGATTAGGAGGATTCTTACTGAAGTGCCTCTGATCGACGGGTACATATTTTTCTTATTTTTTTCTAGAAACAATGGAATAATCTGATAATAATTTTTAGGCACAATGATTTGCCCTGGAATGTCAGAAAGTTCGTTCATAATCAATTGGGTGAGGTAAATTTGAGCAGCGACTTAGGGAGAGTTGATCCTTGGGCCAGATCAGACTGGAGTCACACTGATATACCAAGGTTACGAGCTGGATTAGTTGGAGCGCAGGTATGTAATGTCAAAAATCAAAATTTTCCAATATTGCCTCTGTCACATATCAAAAATTTTTACACTTATAACCCTGTCAATTTTGTAATAGACCGAGCCCTATTTTCCACAAAAGTCGATCCGAGAATTCTAACAGGGTACTGATCAAAGCCTGCAGCATCACAAAGGATAATGTGCAATGTACAATACTCTTCAAAGAGACGATAGTAGATAGTATTTGACAGCCTCGGGACTTGTTTGTGGACACTCCTTTAAAGATAAATTTCAAGTTACAAATATAGAACATAGTATAAAATACACATACAACACTAATTGTCCGACTTGTCTTAATTGATTAAGAGTTTTAAAATTTGATTCTTCTTTCAAGTTATATAACCAATGATATGGAACTAGTTCACCTAAAGTTTCTGTTATTGCTGTTCGGTAACATTCGACTGTCAAAATCTTGAATTGGTCTATTTCAAAGTCTAAATAGTTGGAAACGGTCCCAAAGCGACTTGTCCAAGTATCCACTAAGTTCCAGATATGAACCTTATACCACACACAGAATACATAATGACATGGACTTTAGCCTAATCTCTAAAGCGAGTGAGAGAGAGAGAGAGTATCCCTAATGGTTTTCATAGTCACGTGGATGACGTCGACATCGAACATTGCTAGTTTGAAATTCCTCTCTATATATATAGAACTCATTCAACTGTACGTAATATAATCTCCAAGATTTTGAATTGATTCCTTTCAATATGATTTACTTACACGATATCTGAATGGAGCCATTGAAGGATGTGCTTCGGCTTCACGTGCACTTGGCATCAAATCGATAATCGTGAAAATTGAACTTTATACACACAAAATTCATCATCTTTACACTCGAATGCAAAAATGTCAACAAAAAAATAAAAATTAAGCTTATCAATTTGACATTTATTGCTCAAAAGGCAATTATCAATAGCATTCTGGAAGGCGATTCTGTGTCGAGATTATCCAGTGGTAAATGGAGTGTTAGAGTATGACCCTTTACGTGCTTGGTTCTTGAACGAACGTGTCACAGGGTACACATGTACTTACACTCCTGCTTTCTGAACTCGAGATTAAACCGAGAATCAGAGACGTCTAATTCTCTCACTCAAGTAACTATATATATTGCTTATTATAGCAGTGACTAGTTGGGACCACTCAATGCCTAAGTGAATGGCTCTACTGAGAACTCTGCTGATTATGGTCATATCGTCATTGATCCAGATCGAAAATTGGCTTGCCTATGTCATACCACCCACGAGAGCCATTAATATCAACATTTCTGAATAATCTCTGTGGATTTACATTGGTCACCTAAACACGCTTATCAACAAAGAGCTTAACTGATTGCAGCAAAGAGAAGATTCCTATGCGCAAGTTTAGCGTTCCCTTAAGGCCGCACACGAAACGGAAACAAAAGGCACAATTTCGACTGTATATAGCATAAATAATAATTCTAACTGTTCATCTCTATGTAATACCGCAAACGTTTATTTTAGAACCTGCGCTTTTATTACATTCCCTCGTATATACATACTAAAAACGTGTGTGAAAACTATGCTGCATCAAGTTATCGATTAAAATAAAAATCTCCATGACGCCCGCATGTCTGGAAAGAGTAGCTAAATCATAAAATTCAGTACACATTTCAAACTCTTTAAATTCCACATGAGTTACGAAATAATATAAACAATCCGAGACATTTTTTCAAATGATCCATTTAATTTAGAAGAAAGGAAAATTAAAGAATCGACCAGTTCCCTAAAAAATTAGCCCAAAGCGAATTTTCACACTTCATCTCATTTTTATCATCTTTTACAAAAACAATCCACAAGCGAAATAGATACAAAAATGAAACGTCTAACCAATTTCAAACTCGGTTTCTGCTTTCAAATTTACTATTTCTTTATCCTCTTTTCATTTAAAAAAAAAAATGTCTAGATTTTCAGAAACAAGATCTTTATATATACATTGTATATAGAGTTTCCATCTATTCATGAAAAACTGTCAAGATATATCTTCAACGAGACAAAATATGTCACATGAAAACGTTTGCGCAACAATAGTTGAATTTTATTTTATTTAAATTGTATAGAATTTAATATAAAATAATATATGATCTACTTGTTTAATAAAAATAAATAAAGATTTTTTTTTTTCAAATACATGATAGTCTATTTTGACGATTGATGAATTGTCACACGCAGGATTTGAATCCTCGTGTATCGTTTAATATAAATGAAAACATTAAATGTTGAAAACAGAAAGCTTCGATGTATTCGCGCCAGCTTATTTCGTTGATTCTGATACGGTTTTACTGGCGTAGAGTAGGATTTGTAATAAAATCGACTCATGATGTGGAACGGACAAAACTGTTTTTCACGGTTTGATGTTTAAATGCATTTTTCACAATACATATAGAGAAAATCATATCTATATAGTATAAATGTATGTGAATTTTATATAAGCGCATTACGAAAATAGTGCGCCAACTACTCACAGATGCATAGGATTCTCGTTTATGTCTGCAGAAAAATGCCATTCATATAGAGAACTCAATGATTCGTTACGAATTCACGAACCAAGCTCCTACTACAGTTATATGTGATATAAAAATTCTATGGAAGCTCAAGTATAGTGGCAATCGAAAATACAGTACAATTTTCTGTTATGCTAAGCAATTTCAATGAATAATAATTTAATTTTATAAAATCACTTTCAATTATTATTTTAATATAATTTATCTCTTAAAAATATTAAAATCTCTTTTAGTCTTTTAAACTTTTTTTTTCTATTCCATGATAAATTTTTTCCATATGAAAAAAATGGAATTTACTGTTAAAGTTGTTTCGCAGAAAGAAAACATAAGAAAAACAAAAATAATAAAATAATAAAATTGCTATTTTTTTCTTTTTAACTAGAGTTTTCACTTTTCATTCTTTAAAGTTAATCCTCTATATTTTTCTCTAAATGACTCTTGATTCTGGTTGAAAAGTTTCTTTTTAAAAGATATATAAAAACCCATTAAATCTGTTTTTTCCTTTTTTATCTACTTTTGTTCAAAACTAAATTGTTACGTTACATCGTTACAAGAGACGATACTTTTGAAAACGGATAATGTTTTTCAACGCATCATGAATTTTTTGCAAAAAAAAAATATATATATATTTATATGAGAAAAAAAAAGTTGACGCAGTGTGATGGGTAATAAAAGTCACTGAGTGACAGTGGCAGTGAAATTTTTCCCCTGGGCGGATATCAGTTTACTTTTGGAGATAAAAAATAATGGCTCTAACAGTGAATTAAACTTAGCGTATAGCTATAACATTTAACTGACACAATGCGTCTCTATTTCTTTTGCTCACCTTTTGATAAAAAAAAAATGTTGTATTTTAAATATTTATAAAACGTGCAAATGAGGTAAACATCAAAGTTGAATGTGAATTTGTATGCAGATTTTTAATGTTCATGCAAACGTAAAAATTTTAACGCTCGTGAAAATTTATTGTCAAAAGAAGGAAAATTTTTTTTTTCCTTCTTCTATATACAGTTTTATATAATTTACTATATTTAAAAATCAAAAGAATTTTTAATTCGATTTACCATCATGGAATAAGTGAAATTTATACTCTGGCAAGATAAAATAAAAGTAAGAAAAACCGAAAACAAACGACCACTAAAATGCAAATGAAATTTAAAGAAACAAAGGAGGAGGACTTGATGTGACAGAAACGCACAGCAAGCGCGAGAGGGATCGATTTGAAATTCCTATCGCGCGTTTAACGTCGTAAACTTGAAAATGGAGACACCCTTCATTTAATTCTCAATTGCAATTCAATTATATCGAATTTGTAATCTTAAAGCGAGAAAAAGAAAATGTACTACTTTTTTTTGTGGAAAATTCAATTTTGTATTTTCATTATTATCTATTGATATTGCTCAACCTATATCTTTGTGGCAATTAGTTTCGTGTGAAATTGAATTGCATTGAGCATTCGGAAATTAAATTAAATTGCAGGTCAGACTGGGCTTCTCCGCGCGAGCGAGGTAACACTTAACGACTAACGCTTTTCTACCTTTTGGATGAAAGCAAAAAAAAAGTAAAAAAACGACTTCACATTGGTCAGTTGGTTCGTTAGTTATTTCACAGCAAATAGGAGTTTTAAAAATTGATTTTATGAAGAAACCCGAGAAACTAAAATAGCAGAGTATGAAATATATTTTAAATTAAAATTAAAAATTTTTTTAATACCATTTTATAAAGTTAATAAATTTAACAATTTTCAAAGACAAAATAAATTTAAAAATTTCACAACGAATTCTAAATTTCTCAAAAATTAGAAATAGAAATAGAAATATATTTGAAAAAAAAGAGGCATGAGTCTTCATACCACTTGATATAAACACGTGTTGAATAATCCAACAGCAACTGGTGGATTTGCATAGAACGAATGAAACTAATGCAAAAATCTGTGTCTTACTATGTTTAAAGCAAAAATTTAATGAAGAGAAGATGATATCAAAAAAAAACAACACAACATCAAACAAATTCTAATTGGATCGAAATAATTGTTCTTTGAAAAAGCATTAACTATAATGGTGTTACGAAAATTTGTTTGTATATACTAAAGTACCAAAATGTATTATCGAAGCAAACTAAAATGACTTATCCTAACAATGATTCAGGAGCACCTGTGTAAAGCTTGATGTACAGTATTATTGGCCGTATGTGTATTCACGGTGGCTTTGAAGACCGTGCTACCAATTAACCACGCGGTCTAATTACTTCGAGTTTCTGCGCTAGCGTAAATATTGAATTTTGGCTTCAGCCTAACATGATTGGCAACCCCCCTTTCCCCCCCATCCCTCACGTGCTCCTTTCTCGCCAGCGATATTATGCTAATCACTTGCAATATTCCCGTACTATGCAAAATTCTAAAATTTCAATATCCTAATAAAAAAAAAGAATATCAAAACAAATTTTGATATTTTTATCAGGAATTTTTCAAACTTTAAAAAGAAAAGTGAGATTTCAAACTTAAAATCATTATAAATTCTGATTGGGAGATTTTGATAAAAGTTTTAGAAACTAATGCAACCTAGTTACAAAGATCCACCATTAAAATAAAGAACGTTATCAAATTTTTAGTTTTGGTCGGCTTATGTTCCTTGTGGGGCGGCACAACTTAATGCAGTTCAACTTTCTTTGGAACAAATCGACGTAATTCGGCGACTAGCAGAAATGAATGCTCAACATTTAACTTTGGTTACTAGCGTCAAAGGTAAGAGTATGAAAAAAAAATTTTTAATTACCTATATCAAAAAAAAATTTCATTTTCCAAGCTAATAAAGCTACATTATACATAGAGTACACTCTTTAAATTATAAATTAAAATACTTAAAAGGTGTTAAAAAAAAATCCTTTAAAAACACGCTTTCTTTTTTTTTTTGCTATATAAATAAATTACAATAATCCTTTTTTGAATTATTAAAAGTAGAATTATCTCGAAATGTGTATATTTTAATAAATCTTCTTTTATTTTAAAGTCTTATGAAATATTAAAAAGAAAAGTCGTTGTAAAGGAAAAGCAACGTATAAATTTATGCACGACTTTTCCAGTCGCGCAAATTTATAGTCGAGGCGGCAAGCATTTCTGCGAAAGCCGAAGAGAACAATAGGCAGCTGCAGTTGCCCATTTGTTAAACATAGCTCTATCCTAAATCTTCCAATTCTAACAAATATTTCCTCTTCTGACTCTTGATTTCCTACACACATACAAAATTCTCTTCATTTTCTATTCTAACTAGATAATTATTTGTAATTTACTTTTTGTTATCGCGCGTCTATCGAATAACAATACATGTTTGGAGAAAACAAAAATATAAATTAACTTTTACCTTCATTTATCATTTTTTAAATAAATAAAATTCTTCACAAAAAAAGGGTAAAAATATTTCTCGACATTTGTACTCGAAAAGAAGTTGCTTTTCAGGGGGAAAAAATTTGATATAAAATGTTTTTATATCACACTGTATATATAGAAAATGATTAATTCCTTTTAACTTTTTTCAAATGGTACTTAAATAAATTACTTTGTTGACATTTTTCTGCACTTATTGAATTATTTTTAATTGAAAACACGCAAGCCTACGAAAATACTATATCAACATTTAAAAATTCTAGTTTTATTTTTTAATATTCTCTTTAAATCTGAATTAGTAGAAATTTTACTAATTCAATCAGTACTTTTCATTTTAACTGAAGTTTCAGTTATTTTTTTGAAAGAACCCCGCACCATTTACATGAGAATTTGGGGTCCGGTGAAATTTTCTGCAACTTTGTACTCTTGTAGTTTTTGACCTCCTGAACAAAAAATGTAAATGGCAAAAAAATGTAAATGGCAAAATTCCAAAAAATGGACAGATTTTTTAAAAATTGAGGTTTAAGTTTAAAAAATAGTGTTAAATGCGAAAAAAATTCAAAAATGATTAAAACCAAAAGAACTAAACAAACTTTCTTAAAACTCGTTAAAAAAATAATTTTTAAACCTTTTTTCGCCAGTCTGCATCCGGTATTTTGAATTTTGAAAAACTATCATCGAATTCGTAATTAGCGACCCCGAATTCAATGTATTTGAAAAAATCGTCGGCCATTTTGGATCCGCCATTTTGAATTTCCAAAAATTAACATCGAATTCGTAATGAGCGACCCCGAAAACCCTCGAGTAGCGAGTTTTAAGACAGTTTGTTTACTTGTTTTGGTTTTACTCATTTTTGATTTTTTTTCGCTTGTAACACTATTTTTTAAACTTAAACCTCAATTTTTAAAAAATCTGTCCATTTTTTTGAATTTTGCCATTTACATTTTTTGTTCAGGAGGTCAAAAACTACAAAATTATAAAGTTGCAGAAAATTTTACCGGACCCCAAATTCCCATGTAAATGGTGCGGGATTCTTTACTAATATAATTAGTGAATATGCAAGCAATAGAAAATAACTTATGTAAATCAGTAATTTGTATATAACATAACCTTTAAAATTAACTATTAAATCAATAGATTTTGTAGCCGCCGTCATATATTTATAGTACTGATTCAATCAGTAATTGATATTTTACTAATTGAATTAGTAAAATTAGTAGATAAAATTAGCAATTAGTAGATTTCTACTGCTAATCAGTAAAATATAACTGATTCAGATTTAGAGAGTTCCTACTCTTTTTCTAATAATAATAAAACCCTAAATACTAATAGATTTTGAATTCACTTTCAATATTTATTTGCTTGATACATCGTCATAGCTTTATCGATCTCGCATATATAGTTGAAGAAATAATGCTATAAGCCATCAGTTGTTTCTATAAACTCGCAACTTGCAAAGTAGTGCGCGAAAATGGGGTTACAAAAGGAATAAAACAAGGGAGAAAAGATGCGAGAAACTAGAAGCTGGAAAAGAGGAAGGTAATAAAAGCGGTTACAGAACAAACAATTTCAGCGCATGTACATGTAAACTCTTGTTGAAGTGAAAACGCTAGTTCTTATACTACACTACGAAAATAAATTAAAGGAAAAACAAGTTCCTTATTGTAGTTTCTAACAATTTCGCCTATATAAAGTCGTTTGAGTATTACATAAGTGCAAATATAAGTTTTTTTTTCATACAAAATTGCTATTTAGATTATTTTTTATTTCCCTACAGTTATAAATATGGGACAATTGAGAAAATTACAATATGAAATGAAAAAGAAACTTACATTTTGAAGAATATGACATCTTCCTTGGTAGGATATTAAGATATGTACCACAGTTTTAGAAACAGATTCTAGAAAAAAAGCAAAAAATATTTATATAGAAAAATAAAATAATTGCTTTAAATTATTATTCTTTTGTGCAGGTCTGATCGAGACTCATCGCGAGGGAAAAATAGCGAGTTTGATCGGGGTCGAGGGTGGTCATTCCCTCGGGAATTCTCTAGGAGTGTTAAGAACATTTTATGGTTTGGGAGCCCGTTACCTCACCCTAACGCATGCCTGTGACACTTCCTGGTGAGTAGATTTCCTTTAGAAATTAAGATATCAAAAATTTATGTTATATTTGATAAAAATGTAGATTTCATATTATCTATTAAAAGGGATCTTTTAAACTATTGCTTTTTTACGATATTTTTTTTTTTTTTTTTCAATAAATGATTCAGAAAATACATTATATTGAAGAGACAATGACTAATAAAAGTTACTTTCCTCGAAACAATTTTCCCGCAAAAAAAATGTAAAGCGAACATATAAATATCTAACACGTTTAAACCTTCTAGAAAGTGTCAGTACTTTTATTTAAATCGCAAACAAACACTTCTACGATGCCTGTTTTGTATGTGATGGGTCGTTAAAATTCAAAGAATTCCCAAGTGTAATGCCTTATTCACCCCTCCCCTTATTTGCAAAAGAAACTGTGTATAAAATCGTGTCAACATTATGAAATAAAGTGCTATTACTTTGTGGGCACATTAAATATTACTTGTCATAAATTATTATTAAAGTTTGAGAAATATATATATATATAATGTCTTACCTTTTAATATATTTGCAACATGTGTCATCCCCATGTGTATATCATATGAAATCTACAACAAAATAATACAGAAATTAATTAGAACTAAACTTAATTAGAAAATTTTTATCTTTGAAATCATTTTTGCTTTTTAATTATTACAATAAATAAAAATTTTATTAAAAAATCCATTTGTCCGAATGTTATCGTTTTGTTATTTAACCTATTCTAATTTTTTTTTTTTTTTTATTTGAACAAGATTTACTCTACTGAATATACTAGTGACCAGAAGCTTAAGAAAAATTGCATAAAAATGAAGGGGATTTTTTTTTTATCGAAAAGAAAAAAAACGGAATCCTTTTACGAGAGGAAAAATGGAGCTAAAGGTGAAAGATAAATAGAAAAAACCTGTAGGAAAGTAAGGGGGAAAAAAAAGTAATTAGAGGTGAAAAGTATAAAAGACAAAGGATGATATATGTATAGTTAAAATAAACTAATATAGATAATTAAGTTCGAAAGAATGTAAAATTTTTTTTTTGCTACAATTATGATGATTCGCAATTAAAATTTCTTTTCTAAAGAAACTGATACTCTCAATTACAATAATTCTTTCCCTTGCTTTCTTTTTTGTTTTTTTTTTGCTTCTTTCACTGAATTCGCTAAATTAAATCCACCAACACTAGTGTCGTTTGCAGCAGGTTGGCAATACAAGGCATATGTATATATATATGTATATGTAACTCGTGTGAGTTTCTTGTGGTTTTCAATCCTCGCTTGAATTTGCTTTACGCGTCCCTCGGCGCCGACATTGCGCGGTTGTAAATAAGGGAGGGATTTGTTCTTTGGCACACAATGTTACAATGCCTATACTTTGATGCAACGTGGTTTTTGCGGTGTCTGCTTTGCTATACCTTAGGTAATGTGCAACTGTGCCGATAGAGAAACGTCATAAAAGTCAGGGTCAATCCCCCAGGACTCGCTCCTCGTGTTACCCAACTTACAGCCCCAAAGCTTTTATTAGGACAATATCGAAATTGCTTTCGAACGTGTTCCCAAAGTCTAATGTCCTACTCGCGCGATTTCCAAAGATTGAATTTTTTTTTTGCGGTTGTTGCCTCACACGCGATAAGTATTTCAAGAATTCTGCATTTCCAATTTTTACCAATTGTACTATTGAGGAAAAAAAAAAACCTCGACTCATTTTTGTTGGATTTAATTTAGCGAATTCAGTGAAAGAAGCAAAAAAAATTAGTTTCAAACTATAAAAACTCCGCAAATCGATAGGTAAATAAAAATAAATCCGTATAGTCTATAAAATTCTCGATACGCATATCAATTGAAGTTTATGTCATAAGCCATATTCTACATCGATAACCATGGTAAACTTATAAGAAAAAAAATAAAAGAAAGATCCAATTTATATTGAGAATTTTATTTCTCCAACTGTCTTTATCTGTCATGTATTGTAAAAAGAAAAAAACGTTAACATTTTTAATACGTTTTTCATATAATAAAAAAATTTCTTGTAAAAATAAGATTAAAAAAAAATTATATATAAATTTTTAACAAAAATTTTCCCGGCAGGGCAGTTTGTTCGTTGGGTGAAACAAATAGTACTGAAACATCGGCGCCAGGCCTCAGTGAATTTGGAAAGGTAAGCGAAATGAACAATTTTGTAATTTACAATGAATTCATGTCAATCACGAAACTATTATTGTATTTTCGCACTATATATTCAATTTTCATGAAAAGGAACTTTTATACAAATTATCGTTATTATATATACAAAAGCATTTTCAGAACATTGCTTTCAAATAAATTTTCTATATAGAAAATTTCAAATATAAATCTCCGTCCAAGTTTAAACAATTACTATCTATCTCATGGTAAAATATATGAGCAAAGTATTTAATTTAACTCACGGATCCGCCCTTCCTTTAAAGTTTTGAGAGGTGAAGAAAACAAGATCGTAAATAAAATATTCCGCTAGCGTTCACTATATATGCAGGATGCACAAATATACATATGTCGCAATATTGAATATTTTCAAAATAGAAAAAAAGTATTAAAAAAAAAAAACAATAAATACAAAAAAATTCTACACACAAGTTGTGGGTTACGCACGTACGTTAGGTAAATTTTGAAAACTTTTGCAATTGGATATAACGAATAGGGACAAAAAAAAAAGGAAATGAAACTAAGGGATGTAAATCATGTATTCGAAACGCGAGTGAACATTGCAATCGACCTAAATCTTTTATCGCTTCCAAGACTGACTTTATAGTTAAAACTATTTTAAAGTATCATTTTTGAAAGACTATACCAGAATCGAAAAATGGTTATTATTTAGTACTTCAATTTCAATTTTGCCATAACTCATATCTAGATAAATATAATGGAATTCGAATATGTATATATAATTGTAATATACATATAGAATCAAAAATTTACATCAAAGGATAATTAATACCAAAGGATAATTAATATATGTAAAAGGAATATTAACGTAGAAACTGGCCACTGTTAATTTAATGTATATTAATAATTAATTTTACTTTGTAAAGTGTAAACAAAATTTAATTATTAAAATAAACGATGATCAATAAGCAAAAAAGTACCAAAAATACTATGGCTACAATTTTTTTCTCTTTTTTTTTAAAGTACTTTAAAATAAATAAATATGGAAAAAAGAATATAATGTGTAATGTAATTTAAAGACTTTTCAAAAGAATGACAATTCAAAGTTTAACTTGGCTTTTGTGATTTTAATAACCGTGCAGCTTCTTTGTTTCCTCGGGTTTTTTTTTCCTCGAAGCATCTAGAACAAGCATCAGTGTGACACGTATGTAAAAAACGAACAGAACATTCGTTAAGCGTGCACAGCTCGAAACGCGGCCATTGTCCTACCCATTCGTATCGACGTGCCGTTTATATCGTAGCTTTTTTTTTTTTACTCTCACGTCAGCCATTGGTTTCTATTGGTTAAGGCGAACATTCAGAATTTTTTCCTTGTTTTTTTTTTTTTTTTTGCTAAACCTTTCTCTACTTGCGGGGTCGCTCGTATCGGAAATATAATCCATAACTCATTCTCTATATAAAAACAATAACGTTGAGTATAATTGGTGTCTTCTTTCACTCATAAATTTTTAATTTAAATTATAATGATTGTTGTATATAAATGAATTCTAAAAAAGAGGAGTATTTTCCAAAATAAATATTCATGTCTTGAAAAAAAAAAAAGATTTGTTTAGGATTTTCTCAAGATATTGTATACTTGCTATAATTACAGTACGGTATGCATACTGACAAATGATGTAAATTTACAGGCCGTCGTTAGAGAACTAAACAGACTTGGGATGTTGGTGGACCTGTCTCACGTTTCAACAAGAACGATGAGAGCAGCCCTGCAAACGACAAGAGCGCCGGTGATTTTCTCGCACAGCGCAGCAAGAGCGCTCTGTAATTCTAGCAGGAACGTGCCAGACGACGTGCTCAGAAATCTGGTGAGTTATCAAGTAAAATCACGAAAATAAAGCATCGTTGTCACACAGTGTGAAGAAACAAAAACTGTTTCTCTCCTTCCTTTATTCATTACTTTAATTGGAATGGAAAAAAATTTTAAGAAAAATTAAATCAAATTTTTATATGAAAATTTTATTAAATCAGTTTCTTTTGACATGGGATATTTTATACCTTATATACCTATTTCACACAAGATTTATGGCTAAAGGAAAGAAAGTGTGTCTAAAATTTGAGTACTAGAAATCTTTAATCTAGCTGCGCTAAGCGTACTCAAGCATATTTCACTTCTCCACTTATTCATTTTTCCATACTACTTTCATTCTACAAAGTCGAGGGGGAAACAATTTTCGAAGAAATGGTGAATTGAGAACGATCTCTTATATAGAGTATGGAGAGCATACACGATAGTAAACGTGCAACGCGTGCATTTGAAATTTAAGCTTTATACTTATATGTGTGTAGTCTACACACATGTCAAGTACAACCTATCAGACTTTACTTATAAACTATTCATCTTTTATTTTTTTCTCCCTCCAGAAAAAATATCCTATTGGATCAACAATTTTTATGCTAAAAGCATATGCTTTTGAATCAATCATTTTGGTAGATATACAATTTTCTAAATTTTTTCTATTTTCCCTTGTAATACATATTTTTCAAATCATCATTCCTTAATAACACAGGCCAACAAAATTAGCAAACTTTTTTGGTGCAGCAAATGTCAGACCTGTTTCTGATAGGTTTTTTCAAGCCGAACACGAATCGGTAAACGAAAATTTGCTATCAGCTCTAGTTTTTGAGAAAAACGGGTTTAAAATGTTCAAAAATGTTTTGGCTAACTTTGAGTACCTCTAACACTGAAACAAAAGGTCGTGGAACCTTCCACTTGGGTTTAATTTGAAGCTTAATGTTTTAACTATTATCCCCAAAAATGACCTATCTTGCACCATAAGCTCAAAGTCATTTGTTATCCATTTTTGATACCGAAATATTAATTTTGTAAAAGTTTGAGCGCGTACATCTAGTCCTTGAAGTTAAGGTGCAGCAATGTAATTTTTATGAACTACAGTCAAGGGATAAATTGAATTGAAGCTCAACAAGAAGGTTCACTCACCTTTGGTTTTATTGACTAGAGTTATTCAAATATTACCAAATAAGTTCTGTAGTTAAATACTGGTTCGCAGCTTATTTTAATGCCTTTTAATTTTCTGTGTTACCAACAATTTTGAGGTTATTAGTGAATAATATAATTTTTAGGGCTTGTAGTCTAAAGTTCAAACTTTATTTTAAGTTCAAATAAAAGGTTCTATGAACCTTTTTTCTTTGCTAGAGGTACGCGCTCAAACTTTTACAAAATTAATATTTGCGAATCAAAAATGATAACAAATGACTTTGAGATTATGGTGCAACATTTTTGGGGATAATAGTTGAAACATTAAGCCTCAATTTAAGCCCAAGTGGAAGGTTCTACGACCTTTTATTTCAGTGCTAGAGGTACTCAAAGTTAGCCAAAAACGCAATTTTTGAACATTTAAAACCCGTTTTTCTCAAAAACTAGAGCTGATAGAAACTTTTCGTTTACGGATTTGTGTTCAGCATGAAAAAAACCATATCAAAAACAGGTCTAACATTTGCCGCACCAAAATCAGTTTTGGCCTGTGTAATTAAATCCATTCATCAGATAATGAAAATCTGAAAAATATACAATAAAGTAGAAAGCATGTGTGCAACATGAATTTATAAACAAACTGGTTGTAAGGTAAAAATGTAAGGTTCTGCGCGACTCGTGGGTCAATTAGCAAATGGAAGTCTCTGAATCGTAGCTTTGAAAGCAAAAAAAAAAAAAAAACTAGAATCGAAATGAAGAGTCCGCAAGCGAGAAAGAAAAAAAAAAAGCAGAGAAGAAGATGAAAAAGGCGGAAAAAATGGCGCGCCCTATATCACTGCGCGCGAAATGGGATCAGAGTACCACGCAAAGTTGCACATACAGTCAACACATACATATATCCTGCTTTCTCTCCTATAATGCATTGCACTTTACCATTTGGCCAACAGCTACTATTCACTATCGCACTATACTATTGCCCGCCCTCTCTAACAGTGTGTGTATATATATATTCCCTGTTGGCACACTGGACCCTTCCATAATAGAAAACCTATATCTCTCCTGCAACCTAACCCATGCCCCCCCCCTCCGAAAACAACAAAACCGAAAGTTTCACCCCCGCCACTTGAAAACGATTTGGTCAAGTGAAATTACACCGTTTTGGACCAGTAAACATACACCTGCAAATCGAAAACTATTTGAACCGAATAAAAGAGAAATGTTGAATAAAAGAATTAAAGAGCACTTCAAAAAAAAAACAGTGATAAAATATACCAATTTAAATTTTTAACATATTTTTAAATGCTAAATTTTTTCTATGATCAATTTTTCAGTCACATAAATAGCTAATAATTTGTTTTCCATTATAATATAAAGAATATGGAATAAGTTCTCGAGTTTCTTAAAAATTTGTATTCATAGTTTTTAACGGGAATTTTTTATAGACTACTTTTCAAGTCAGAGGGAAAAAGAAAATTTTTCGGAAAATTAATATTTAAGACCTTTAATGTAACTTTTATAGAATTTTAAATAAATACAAAAAGCATTGGGAAAATTATTAATTTCTTTATGAATACCATCTCTAGTAAAAATTCGCGGTATAATAACTTTGTGTATTTTTTAAACAAACAAAAAAAAAATAGATATCTGCACCAGTTATGAACAACAAACAGGAAGGAGAGTTGAATTTTATCGGAACAGCCGATAACCTCTTAATTATGTCGATGCGACAACGAGCTGTGTGCCAGGGCACGATAATAGGTTTTCATAATCTATTATTAACCATGTCATCCTTCCGTCCCAATTAACTCCACGGAGATCAAGTCTATCAAATGGTATTCGTCCCAACGAACTTGATCTGATTTTTTTCATGAGCAAAATTTTCTTAACTTCAAAAAATTTTAACGAAGACGCGATATTTCGAAAAAAAGAGAATAAAATATCATTTTTATTTTTAATCTATCAGCTTTTACTCAAAAATAATATTTTCCTATATAGAAATATATTTTCGATAAAAGACAAAAAAAAATTTCTTTTTCAGGCAAAGAATGGAGGTGTAGCTATGATTCCCTTTTATACGTATTTCATAACATGCAACAGCACAGCAACCATCAAAGACGTGATTGGTAAATATTTTCTATCCTAACACATAAAATTAAATGGCATTAAAATAAGCTGATTATTTTAATCCTATTTTGCTTATTTTAATACCAAAATGGATTAAAATAATCAGCTTATTTTAATGCCTTTTAATTTTCTGTGAATTTTTCTTTTTTTTTTAAAAAAAAATTATAAGACATTACTTTTTAAAAATAAAAAATTGAACAGATGAAAAATTGCATGTTTATATATAATATATAAATTTTAACTGGGAATGTTACATTTCAGCGCACATCAATCACGTAAGGAACGTGGCGGGCATCGATCACGTCGGCATAGGAGCAGGATTCGATGGAATAAATTAGTAACTATCACTGAACTAATCTTCTCTACCATTATACATATGAGAAATCGATTCAACACGTAAATTACAACTATTCTCAATTTTAGCACACCTACTGGCCTGGAGGATGTTTCCAGATATCCTCAACTATTCGCAACTTTGTTAGAAGATCCTTTATGGACGGAGGAAGATATTAAAAAATTAGCTGGTCTTAATCTACTTCGAGTATTCGCCAAAGTTGAACAAGTATGTTAATCATATTTTTTTTTTTCAAATTTCCAAAAAATCTAAATTAAAAAAAAAAAAAATTTCAGATACGAGACGAATGGCAGAGGGCAGCTGTACTACCAGTTGAAAAAATTAGCCCACCGGAAAATTCAGCTTGTGCATATAGAGCGTCCTGATCTCAAGAAATGTTAACAAATTTGGATTAGACTCATTCGACAAATATATGAAAAAAATATAGGAATGACTCGCGTGACCGACATTAATGCAATCAGTGTGTCTTTGCGTAACGAGTGTTTAAAAAGAAAAAAAAATGGGAGACTTATATAAGTCTGAGTAACAATTTTTCATAATAGACTCTAGTATCAAAAATTATTTCAAATTTCCCAAAAGCGTGCGACTTATCATCTTGCGAATTTATAATTATAGCATAATTAGAAATAACAAGAATCGACGTTTCCCATAAATTAAGTCCTCCTTTTTATAACAAAAAAAAAACCTTAATATTTTCTAAGATGATTTTTTAAAACAATTTTACACATTTTATTACTAGTGAAAAAAAAAATAATAATTTAATATTTCACTTTTTATAGAACATAAGTTAACATACTATATTAAAAAAATAAAAAAAGATAATACTGGATTTTTTTTGAAGATTTTCATAATATTTTAAGAAAAAGAATTAAATATTGTTCCGAATGTACAGGATACTTTCAATTATAAAATTCGGAATTAGAAAAATTTAATTACAAAGATGTCGAGTCTTGAAATTTCATATTTTAACACACGGCTCTTAAAATTAACACGCATTCCTAAAAATTTCTTAATTTTTAGATAGATTAAATATATACACGAAAGAGACCAATCGCAAGTTCTTAAAAACAAGATCAACATTATATATACAAGGAATATAAAAAGATTCAAAATTCAGGGCTACGAGTGCCAAATGTTAAATCGTTTTAAAACCGACAGTATTATTAAAAAAAAAAAACAAAAAAAAAAAAAACTAGAAATGAAAAACTTGACTGTAGCATATTTAGATAACAATATTAAAAAAAATGAACAGCATTTCATTATTAATCTTCGCATTTTTTCCTGCGAAATATTCTCAAAAAATATTATCTTTTCGCCAAAAACACTTTTAAAAACTTATTGTTTTTATAAAGAGAATTTTTAAAAGTAGAAATACTGCTTATAAAAAAAGCACCGAATGAAATTAGAATATTGATAAAAAAAAAAAAAAAGAAATATAGAAAAAAATTATCTCAGTAGTTTTAACAAAGCACTATTACCATTTTTACAATCAGCTTTTGTGTACAGTGCGATCTGTTGAAAAACAAAGTAAAATATTGCTATTCATCTCTACAGTGCATGCGATAAAAATCTAATATTACATTATCGTTACAGTTAAATTGAAATATTTTTATTTTCAAAAAAATATCGAAGCAATTTTTTTTTAAAAAAGCTCTTTTTAATGTCTTATTTAAAAAAAAATCATCATTTTAATTTCAATAAAAATAAATTTGAGAAAATTGTAAAAAATATTCAAAGCAAAATTTTACTCAATCTTTTTAGGCATAAAATTAAACTATTGATATTTGTCACTAACAATTTTATCTCAATAATGATTTTTTATCATTGATTTGCATTTTATTAATTATAAAAAAGATCTATCCGAGAAAATCAAAAATATACTAAAATATTTAAAACGATGCGGAATAAATTTGTAATTTCTTCCTTTATAAAAAATGAGACTAAAATTTTTATGCCGATAAAAAAAATTAAATTCTAAATATGCAAATTATAAATTAAATTTTTGGCGTATTTAATTGGATAAACTATTTTTTTTACTTCATATCAAAAGAGAAAGTACAATTAATTTATAATAACGATTCATTAAATTTTGTTAAGCAACGTGTAATAATTAACAAAAATTATTGCGAGAAGAAAATAAATTAAAGGCAAAATTAAAAAATTTTGCATCTATTCTAATTGAAAAAAAAAATTGTTATCTTTTATGCAAAATTACAAAAAGATTGAGTAAAATTTTCTTTTAACTAATTATTTCAACTGAACTACAAAATATATATATTTTTTTTTTAACTGAAAAAGCGAATTTTTCTCAAGTACGCAGCAAAAAAACATTCATAAAATTTGCAATAAAAAAAAAATTCTTATACCATTCGATAAATAAGACGTTAATGCTTTTGGTACTTGCACTGATCAATCAAAATTAATTTTCATCAACAACTAATCGCAAAATGTACACGCGAAATTTTGTTTCAAACATTTTTTTTTGTACATATTAAAAATGTTAATTCATCTATAATTTATTAAATATTAAATTATTTATAATCGTTAAATTTATTACTATACCAATGATTTTCTAATCGTTTAAAAAATATATATTTTCTTTAAAATGTTAAAAAATTAAAAGGTTACAAGCAATATTGATAAAAATGCGATCTTGTTAAAACAAAATTGTTGGTAACATTTCGATAAATTTTTTGTGTACCATACATGTGTTTTAAAAAAAACAATGTTGCGATTAATGTTTATGAAAAATTTAAAAAAAAAAAAAAAATTCGATACAATTCGTGAAAAATAACTGGATAATCATTATATTGAATGTATTGCTCGTTTGCACGTGAATGGATGAATGTATGAAAAAGAGAGAAAAGATTTATAGAAAATGTATAATAGAAAAAAAATACTTGATTGCAAAGAAAAAAAAAATTGGCTCTCAAAAAAAAAAAAAAAAAAAAAAAAATGAATATCTCGAAAAATAATTTATTATCATAAAAAATGAAACAATATTGTGAAAGTGAATCAATAATGTGCAGTGCCAAAGTGAAAACAACCAATCACATAATATACACCTATATGCGAAATTCTCGAAGGCTCAAACAATATTTTCGAGAAAAACCCGTGTTCAATTTTTTAAATTACATAATATCATCGGGTTATGTGTTCCAGAAAAAAAATTTTTTTAAATAAGCACATACTGTAAGAGTGAATTATTATTAAAACGAGAGAAGAATAAAAAAAAACCTTTAGAATAACCTCAAACATAATTTTAATAACACACAACTGCCTAGATCTCAGATTAATAACTATTATAATATATTGATTATAATATATTAGGTCCAAACGCACAAAAAAACATGTTTGGAAAACTATACATACACCGAAGGGAAAAACGATCAAGCGCAGAGAAACAATATTTGGCTTTTATCAATAAAAACATTTTTTTGGTCAATATTTTTACAAACATTTTTTGATTAGACAAAAGAAAATTTTTTTTTGTTCATCATTTAAATTCAATTGAGAAACAATGAAACATTTTCTTGGACCAATCAAAAAAAGTTTTGTTACATAAATATTAATCAAATGATTTGTTATCAAAACGTTTTTTTTTTAGTAAAACAAATGTAAAAAAAAGATTGTAATAATTTATTGTAAATTCCAAAATGTTAATATAAACTTCAAATTGTTATCTAATTGAATTTTTTTTTAAATTTTATTTTTGACTCTCAAAATGTTTTTTTAATTTAGACTGTATGTGTGTATTTAATGTGAAATGTCTCGAGAAGAAAATGGAGAAAGAGAATAAAAAATAGAAACATAAAGAGAAATAAGAATAAATTATTAAAATTTCATATATAGATTATCTATCATTTTTGTTATAAAAAAAGAAAAATTTTTCAATACCTAAATTATTTATCTGCGCTATCTCAATTTACACAACTATTTTCTTGACTGATTCAGAAAAATTTTATTCTTTAGCAACAAATTAGATAAATTAGTATATTAATTTTTCTGAATCAGTAATAATTTTTATTCTTTATAGAAAATTGTAACCGAGAAATAAAGTTAATATAAAAAAAAAAAATTTATAAATATATAAATAAATAAATATATATATATATATATATTATATGATGAAAGTTGAAAAAAAAGGCACTGGAAGAACAATATTATCAAAGCAATGTGTTATATGAAGTTTTAATAAAAAGCGAATGGAAGAGAACTCGCGGGATGTTTAAGTCGCATTTTGTGAAATTGTATATGGAAATTGTTTCGTTTCCTTCGAGAGATCTCTTTAAAATACGTAAAAAAAAATACGTGTTGACTTCTCAATCAAGATGTGAAATAAAGACATATGAAGTACGAATGTACAGAAGTACAGAGAAATAAATATAAGATTAGGAAATTTTAATAAATTAATTAAACATCACGCATTCAATTTTTATTCACTTTCCTTCCCTTTTTTTTTACTAAATAAATTGAAATTCAGTTTAAAATTTTTTTTTTTTTAAATCTTGGAAAAATGGAATAATTTTAAAAAAATATATTTTAATAGATTTTGCACACGTTTAAAGTGTGTAATATAACACATTGATTTGCGTTTGCGTTTGCGCAATTTGAAATGTACTTTCGCAGGGTACAACAGGTGATGCTGGGAGCGGCAAGATTCTACCTTGATTTTTGCAATAATGCATCATTCACCCTCGTTCTTTGCTATTCAATGAAACCTAACCAAACCGTGTCGCGACTATCGGAAGTGAAAACACAATGTTCATCTAAAAAATTATCATTCAAATCTAAAATAATGTGACCTTTATTAGAAGATACGAGAAAAAGTATTTTTCAGATAAATATATATATTATCACCCTTGCCATTTTCCTTCTGTTTGATTTCATGGATAACATAGACGCATCTTGTGAGTTAATTAATATGCATTTAATTTTAAAGATATCTAACGAACAATATAATTTCAAATTTTTCTCTTCAACAGACACTTCAAGAGAAACAGTTTTAAAATACATTTTTAAATATTTTTAATTTATTTTGATATGTGTTAATTGATATAAAAGTATTTCGAAAAAAAATTGAATGACACAGATTCACTTAACTATATAATAAATTAAAATATCAAAGAAAAATTATTTACAATAAATCTGCCGTCCAAAGTAAAAAAAGCCGTAAACAACAATGTTTTTATTGTTAATTATATACTTTTTTACATTGGATGGCAGAAATGGATGTTTTCTTAAATGCGTAACGTTTAAAAAATAATATGAATTCACAGAAAATTAAAAGGCATTAAAATAAGCTGCAAGGTTTATTATTTTAATCCAATTTTGCTTATTTTAATACCAAAATGGATTAAAATAAGCAAAATTGGGTTGAAATAATCAGCTTATTTTAATGCCTTTTAATTTTCTGTGTTATAAAAAATATGATGTAAATCTTCAATTTTTAGAAATTATATGTAATTAAAATTAATTAATAAAATGACTTACATATTTCTGTTGATTAAATCCTCTGTTGACTCGCACCAGACTGAAAACTGAAACAGACAAATAATAATCATGAAAAAATGTATATAAAAATCATTATTATAATTTTTAAAATCTAGTATATTTGAAATCTACTGATAATTAATAATTGTAGAATTTCGTAAATTTTTTTTTTATAACAGTCGCAGTATGAATCAAGGAAGTATCCAATGTCAAGGAACGCAGAGAAGATCTTGCGCTCCTGGAGCTAATTGGAACGTACAGGTAACTTTTTTTAAAGCAATTTTGCACTTTAAATAATGCTTATTATAAACATGAAAATTTTTTGATTTATCCTTTTATCTATACAATTTTTATAATGCAATACTTTTATAATTCACTTTTTTTCTTTTATTTTATATTTTAAAACAATTGGACCTTGAAAGCCGTCTATATTGAAGGCCAAGAATATTTATTCAAGTTTTTGAATTTTTAAAATCTAATTTCTGCGACACTTTTGCTCGCTTTGACTTTTGTATATGCTAACAAATTATCACTATTTTTTTATTGCACTTCTTTTAAAAATATTTATCAGAAACTTTAAAAAAATTAATCTTCTTTCCTTTAATTAATTAAAATAATTAGAGAATTTAAGGGTCATTTAAATAATCTATCAGAAAATTGTTTTCTGTTCCACGATGATCGAACATTAACAATGGGTAATTATATAAATTAAGCAGGTGGTGAGAAGCAAAAAGACTACTCGTTGCTTATGGCACGCCTGTAAAGCTCTCGGCATAGGTCTTCTTCTAATGCTTTTAGGAGCTTGCATGGCTACAATAGGTAAATATTAGATTTATCGATTGAAATTCAATTTTTTTTCTGATTTAGAACATATATTTTTTTTTTTAATATAAATAAACACTAAGCATTTTAAATATAAGCACTAAAATTTTATTCCTGACAAAATCAGTCACTAATTTAAAATTAATTTTTACTATAACACGAATTTAGAGAATAACAATTGATTTTTCTTTAATGTCTGTTTTATTAATGTATTCCATGTTTTTTTAATATTATTTATTGTGGAAATTGTTACTTTTAAATTTTCATCAGGTTACTTTGCTGATCAACTCTCTGAAGCACAAGAAATCAGAGGCAATCGCACCATCAAAGTAAAAAATGAATCACGTGGTTTCCATCTTAATAATTTAAGTTACGCTGGTCCAATTGTAATGGGAGTTGGAGGTAAGAAAATAAATTATAATTATTATAATTATATAATTATAGAATTAAAAAAAGTATATATTTTTTAAATATTTTTCGCAATTTTTTCAAAAGCGAAATATTTTAACATTTTTTTTTTCAGTTTCACAATTTCAGTGAAACAATGAATAGGTAGAGAGTTACTCAAGAAAAATTAAATTTCCAATCGTTATGAAAAAAAAGAGGTTAAATGCAAAATGCGAACTCGACATCAGAGATGAAAATTGCACTCACCAGACAATAGTCGAATAATCTCCCCCCCCCCTCTCTCTCTCTATGCTCTCGAGTAAAATCCCTACCCATATATTGAAACTAGGCCAAACATTGATTATAATTTAATTTCTCAAAAAAAATTTTTTTGCATTTTTCAACTAACCATTATTATTTTATTAAAAAACTATTGTAAATTTAATTTATTAAATTGTATCTGAAAGAAAAAAAAAAAGTTGCCCCCAGAGAGATTTGAACTCTCGACCCCTGGTTTACAAGACCAGTGCTCTAACCCCTGAGCTATGGAGGCTTCTTGGAAGTTTTTCCGAAATTACCACTGATCAATAGACTATTAATTTTTTATTCAAAAAAATTCTATTAAAACCAATAAATAAAAGTAAATAAATAATCAAAACTTTGTTAATAAATAAAAAATAATTATTAATTATTTAAATCAAATTTATTAATTTCTTTCACAAATTGAAAATCACTTTTTTACTATTTTGAATATAATTAATTATTATATATTATATATTATTTATAAATATTTAATATTTATTTATAATAAAATAAATATTTATTTTATTATAAATAGTTAATAAATAACTATAAAAAATAGAAAAAATATTATAAAAGATACTATTTTGAGTATAATTAATTATTATATATTAAATATTATTTATAAATATTTAATATTTATTTATAATAAAATAAATAAATATTTATTTTTTATTTTATAAATAGTTAATAAATAACTATAAAAAATAGAAAAAATATTATAAAAGTACAATAATGTTTAGATAAAATAAATTGGTTTTTTTTTGTTTTTAAATAGGATTTATCGTTGTTGCTGCTTGTGTAATGACATTTGAAGCACGTGACAGTGCAGCAAAAGTTGGACCTGCACGTTTGCGATTAAATCAAACATCATCAATAAAACAAACAACAAAAAGTCAAAGAAATATCAATAAATCAATTCCCTGCCAAACTTCAAAATGGGACCAACAACCAGGTCTTTTTCGAACTCCCAGTCCAAGTTCACAAGATGCAACAAAAAAACAATTCACAACATCAGGAGGAGTTATTGAATTTTCAAATAATTCCAACAACAATGAAAATTCACATACAATAATTAAAAAAAGTCCTAGTGCACCGACTCTTGTTGAAAAAAAATCACCACGACAAAGAGCACCAAAATTTTCTGGTTGCGCTCTTCTTAATCCAGAATTATTACAAAGATACGCTGCCTCAGTTGATAATCCTACCTATAATTCTCAGGTAAAAATTATATAATATAATAAAATGCTTGGTCTGTCCTTCTGTCTTAACTTGAAGTTGGCCTTTTCTGATTTCACGTGTTTTTTTGAATAGTAATCTTATGACGTGTCAAATTTTGACAATTCTTTTTCTCATTTTTGTCAAAGTTGTGTAATTGTGTTTCCAAATTTCGGAATAAGTTTCTTTAAAATTCCAAATTCGAAAATTCAATTCACGAAGCTGAAGTACACAACGTTTACCAACGAAATTTTTTTTTAAAATTGTATATTGATTCAAAAATTGTATATAAATACAAAAAATTTATGATGAGAAAAAAGGTGCGCCAGGAAATTTCGTACAAGTTAGTAATTTAAAAAAAATGTATTTTTAAAAATTAATTTTTAATGTACCAGGGGCCAACGAATACCTATTAAATATTAATTATAAAAACACAGGCCTCGAATCAACTTAAAGACACAAAAAAGTCGATGTAGTCGATTTATATTCCAAAAAAAGTAGATTTATTTTTTATTTTAACAAAAATATTTTACAGATTTTTAAATAAAAATTTTGTTTTAATAATAATCCTTTACGAAGGGTTAAAGTTGAAATTTTTAGAAATAATTAAATTTCAAAAGATATTGTTAATTTTCAAACAATTATTAAATTTTACAGAACTAAAAATAATTTATCAAACAATTTTTGGAAAACATTTTTTAAATTTAATTGAATTTTCAAAGATTTAAAATTGAGATTTTTGAAATTAATTGAAACTTTAAGTGTTTTGTAATTAAAATTTTAGATGATTTCACTAAAAATTTATTAGAAAATGCGGACAAAATACAATAATTTGAAAATAATTTTTAATTGAAAAATGGTTTCAGATAGTTGAAATTTCAAAGAATATTATTAAAATAGTTAAAAATAATTAAATTTCCTTAGAGTTATAATTGAAATTATTAAATTAAAAAAAAAAAATTTTCGATGGAAAATTTTAGAAATAATTAAATTTTAGATGCTTTTAAATTCAAATTATTGAAAATTCAATTAATTTTAAATTCAAATTTTTGAGAATAATGAAATTTAATTTTGATTTTAAATTTGGCAAATAATTGAATTTCAGTTCATTTTGAATTGAAAATTTTGGGAAATAATTGAATTTGAATTGAAATTTTGGATCATAATTTAATTTAGGTTCATTTTTAATTGAAAATTTGGATAATTAATTTTGAATAGAAATTTTAGAAAATAATTGAATTTTATTTCATTTCAAATTGAAAACTTGGTAAATAATTAAATTTTAAATTGAAAATGTTGGATAATTATTGGATAATTAATTGATTTTGAATTAAAATTTCGGGTAATAATTGAATTTTAGTTTATGTTGAATTGTAATTTTTAAAAAATAATTCAATTTTATTGTGATTTTTTTTTAAATTATAAACAATTGTTAAATTTCATAAAAATTTTAATTGAAAAATAATTTTGAAATAATTGAATTTTTGATGTATTTAATTAAAATTATTAAAAATAATTAATTTAGTGAAGAATCATTTTAGTTCAAAATTTGTTAAATAATTGAATTGAAGAAGATCTGAAGAAGATCTACATTTTATACTAAAAAAAATGTATTTTATTTAAATTTTTTTTTCAAATGTAAAAAAAAATGTCGCATTTTATTAAAAGAAGTCGATAAAAGTCGTATTTTTGAAAAAAGTCGGAAAATGTCGTATAATCCGAGGCCTGTATATAATTTTCATTATTATCATTTAATATGTAATAATATTCTAATAAATTAAATTATTTTTGATAATATTAATCTTTAATTTCTTTATAACAAACAATTAAATACTCAATTTGGCGCGATTGCGCGCGTTTAATTTTGCTAGTATTTTTAATAATTTATCAATTTCATTAATTATTATTCAGATCGTCTGGCCGAAAATAGTTTCATCAAATAAAGATAAAAAATGATAACCAGTTAATCAATAAAATATATATATATATACAATATATTCCAGACATTACTTATTATTATTGAAATAAATCAATTATTTAAATATTATATTTAATTATTAATTTTCGTAGACAATGAAAGAAAATTTAGATCAACAAAAAATGAACGGTAGTCAAGTGTCAATGGCAATGGATTTACATTTTCCAAATAAAGGTCCAGTTACGTTAAAGGTGAAGGACCGTAGGCGGCAATTGGAACGTCAGACAAAGATCGAAGACCTCGAAGAGGTCAGCGAAGCTAGAAAAACAGAAGGAATTCATTCACCACAATTACCTAGTAATTACTTTTTTTGTCAACTAAAAAAATATTTTTATTGAATATATTATTCATTCAAATTTATTTTCCACAGGTGTTTACAGTAGATTTCCTGAAGATTTTGTGCCTAGAAAACGAAACTCGATAGACTTGAAAACATTGGATGAATTAAATATAAAGGATTCCCTTAAAACTTCACCGCGTGATTTTCGTAAAGTTTCATCACCAAATTTTCGTAAAATGTCTTTCGATAGATTAGGAAGTGATCGTCGATCGGAAAGATCTTTAGGTTCGCGAAAGGCTAGTTTAGATTTTAAAAGAAGTCCAGATTTTCGAAAGCATGATTACAGGTAAATTATTTTTTTTTTTTGCTTCTTATTAGGAATTTATTTTTTTGTTATACAATAATTTTTTTTTTTCAGAAAATACTCGATTGAAAGATTCACAGCAGATTGTGCGAGATATTTGCAAGAGGAATCAGAAAATCGAGCAATAACAGCTAGCGGTGAAAATTTACGAAAACAAAAAATGATGAAACTCCATTATTCAAGATCAGACGATAGAAGGAGGTCTTTTGATAAATTTCATGGTGAATCTCAATGTAGTAGATATTCTCTAAATGCACCTGAAAACGAATTAAAATATTTTGCTTCATCCCTTGACACTGATGCATCAGACGATAGTCGAATAATTGATTTTGAAGAACAGGAAGGATGCAATTTATCACCTGATGCGATACCAAGTGCACTTGTTGAGGAACCAGAACTTGAGAATTTAACCGAAACAACAGAGGAAAGTAGAAAATTTTCAATTATTGACACACAAAAAATGAATGAGAATATTAGAAATTTAGAAGAAGCAGCAAATGAAATTGAAATTTACGCCGATGATAATGAAAGTGAAACCAGTGTTCGTGACACTACTTGAAATCTATGACGTCAATGATATAATTTGAAAAATGATTTTGTTTTTCCGTTGTTAATTATTCAAATTAGAATTTTTTACTTCAAAAAATATAAAATGATAAAATAATTATAAAAATTTTTAAATTTGAATTTTTTATATTTCATTTATTTACACAAGTAAATAATTATATAATAATAAAGCATAAAAAAAACAACGAGCCTAATATTCGTTTTCTACATTTATTGCGCAAGTAAAAAACAATATTTGAAATAATATTGACAATTAAATATGAGTCAATTCTAATTTTGGTGCTCTAACCAAAAAAAAAAAAAATGATGATTGAAAATTTATTAAATATATCATTTTCGTCAATTATAAAATACTATATGTATAATAAATTTATAGCAGCGGAACAAGATAGAATTTCCATCATTTACTGCTCAATGGAAAAACAATAATGCTGGTAGCTCAATTATAAAAAATGAAATTTTTGAATTGCGTTTTGTATCGAGACAATCTTTCTCGTGGCGTTACCTGACGGCAATAACAGATAAGATTATTAGAAAGTTGGCTCTATAGGTAACTAGTATAATAATATTTAAAGAGTGGCCTCACAATTTCTAAAACTATAATAAACTCTAATTCTTTCCTCATGAGTTTTTTTTTTAATGTCAAAAAGTGACCTTTCAGTTTTAATAAATTATTCTCTATAATTAATTAATTACTTCAATAATAATTTATTAGGTAATTAATTAATTACTTCAATAATAATTAATTAGGTAATTAATTAATTACTTCGAAAAAAATTCGAATTCTTATCTCTTTTTCTCGAGAATAGTAAAAATAAAAAAAGTATAAAGGAAAGAGTTTATCGTGAATGATAAAAAAATATATAAATTTTTAAGAAACGTGAGTCATAAGGCAAATAATTAATTTAAAAAAAAATAAACATAAAATGTATATTTTTTTGGTAGATATTTTTTTATTCAAATTTATTTTAAAAGTAGTGATTAACGCGACTCTGACTATATATATTTTTGTAGTAAATTTTAGTCTTTATCCCTTATGTGATATAAGGTGTCAATAAATAAATAAAAAAATTAGAGAAATGTACAAATTTTTTTTTTAAACTTTTGAGCGCGAACCAAGTTCAAAAAAAAAAAAAAATGTTAACTAACAATATTGTTGATTTTTATCCGTCGATTTTACGACAAGACTTTATACACATCTTTAATCTTTAAATATACCTTGACCTAATTGTCAAAATAATAAAATTTGTTCAAATGGGATAAGCCAAAACGAATATTTCTGATCTATATAAAGATATATCAAATTTTTAAATTCTTTTCAAAAGATCAATTTTTAAAACTGAATTTTATTATTTAGAAAAAATTTATTTCTTTAAATTAAAAATAAAAACAGGATATTTTAAAAAAAATCTTTATATTGTTGAGCATATTTAAATGTAAAACTATAATATATTGAAAAAACAATTTATTTTGGCATATCCTTCTATACGTTATCTATTTAATATATTAAATATAAAAATGAATAGTGCAATGAACTATAAAAAAAGCACGCCATGGCAATATACATATATATATATAATCAATGTTTGCGAAAGAATAAAAAAAAAAAAGACAAACATAAAACAAACTGTGATTAATTTGTAAACGACACGATCTATTGAAAAATGTAAGACGTGAATTAAAGACCTAAATTTAAATCATTTTCCGATTCTTCGATTCTAATATAATATATATATATATACAATTATTGTTGTTAATAAAATTCACGTTTTGCAATTTTTTTTTTACCGGATCGTATTAAATGTTATATGAAAAAAAAAAAAAAAAAAACAAAGTTGCATTGTCTGTTATCGTAGAATTTTTAAACTGTTGGCTAAAAGCATCGTAATAATAATATTCTAATATAATCGATAGAAAATTCAAATAAAAAATAAAAAAAAAAATTATGCGCTATTAACTGGACAAAAAAAAGTGTTGTAATAAGTTCATGTAAATGTATTAATGTAACCTTTGCATGCTAATTGTTGTGACATATCAATAAACAAATTGTATCAAAATTTTTACTAAATTCTTTATTAAAAAAAAGAATCTTTTATTTGTTAAAAAATATAATAATAATAATAATAATATTAATATTAATAATAATAATAATAATAATAACAATAATAATAATAATAATAAAAATAATATAGTTTTTAATTTAAAAAAAAAGTATCATCAGTCGATAAAGTTTAAAATAATCGGTAAAACTCGTCGGTAATAAGGAAGTGAATGACAGGTGTAATAAGCAGGTGGGAGTAACAAGGGTAACGAACAGGTAACTAAGAGGGGGGCTTATCAAATAAACAGACAGCAAAGTTGCGGGCAGTGAAACCTTTAGTAACTTGCCGATCGCCATTGTGTTCGTTTACGCCAAAAAAAAAAAAAAACATGCAATTCTATTATTTATAACATTATGAAATTATTTTTTCTCCCTTATTTATGAAACTATAAAAATTGTAGTGATTTAAAAAAAGGAAAAATTATTAATAAAAAAAAAAATGACATCAGAACGATATCACAAGTGAGTTTAAAAAAAAAATAATCACCTTATTAAATTAATTTTTAAATTTGTAACACACTTGCCACTTTTCCGAATGACGATCGTCCTAATAAATCTGACTCTAATTAACCCGACTTCTGCGATTTTCATTAAATTTTTATACATAGACTACTCATCTGAATTTTTTTTTTAAATATTCAATTAACAATTATATTTAATAAAAATTTTAATTAAAAATTTCTAATATTTTTATATTATTAGAATTATTTTTTATTTACTAATAAAATTTGTTTAATATTTATATAAAACATAATTTAAATCATATAATTTTTAACAAGTTTATTATAATTAAATTTTTATTTATTGATGAAAAGTAAATATTTGATTTATTTTTTTTCTAGTTGAATGACTGGTTAAACAAAATTAGTAACCTATATAATTACGCTTTTACCTCAAGTAAAACTATATATATTTCAAGTTTCCTTTTGGGAAATGATTCACTTTGAGAAAAGAAATAAATTGATATAATTATAGAATATTGAAAGATCAGGTTTTAATTATTAATTTAGATATTTGTATATATATATATATATATATATATATATATATATATATAAGACTATAACAATTTTAATTTAATAAAATTTTGTTATTTTAGAACATTAATATAAAATAAATTAGTTTTCTAATGAAAGTAATTTTTAATTATAAAGTTACTTTCTTTAATATATAAATATATATATATGCGATGAAAAAAATTTATAAAAAGTGGGAATCATGTCTGTAATAAGAGTACAGTTTGCTACAGAAAATCGATGATACCTACACGAAAATGTCAGAATACCTTTCATTTGAACGATCGTTACCCGGAAATGAAACGTCTCCTAAGAAACTCATTATAACACTGCGCCATGTTTGAAGAGATCATTACATTGTTTGCGAAACTAAAAAAAAAAACTCCCCCCATTAACTCTTGTGATTGTCTTAATAAATAGTAAAAAAAAAAAAATAGACAAATGTTCTAATAAGATTATTTTTAAATACTATTTCAAAATAGTTTTATACCTAAATATCATGATAAGACATTTCAACATTTCAATAAAAAAAATTTTTTAACACTTGTCAATAGATATATATATATATATATACTATACTTGATAAGCATTTATCAAAAATCGTTTAATCTTTCGATATCAGAATATGAACAGAAAATGCGAAAACAGTTATTATTTCACACTAAATGACACATTAAATCAACATATAAACGAGACATAAAGTTATTACAAACTTTTTTATTATGGAAAAATTTTACTGAACACCTATGTAAAAATATTGAAACTTGCTTGCTTGAAAAAAAACGAATATTGTCAAATGCACTGAGTCTATTCATGATTTCCGTACCATTAAATTGGCTTTGTTAAAGTACCGGAAACGACAGCTCACGTGACACTGTTGGGTTAATTAGTGACATATAATTATGGAAAGTAAAATCACGAGAAAAGGAGAAAATGTGTTCATTATATTGAAATGAAATCCGTTTGATCATAATTTCAAAAAAAAAATTTTTACCAAATAAATCACCTGGATTTTTTTTTAGAAAATAAGGAACTAAAAAAAAATAATAGCATAACTTTTAAATGCATTTTTAAATCGTTAATAATATGTATGTAATGATATAAATGTAATGAGATGATAGTAAATTGTGCAAACTGTAAGTCCGAATTCATGACACGTGACGGAAAAAATAAAGTTACTATATTGAATGAAGTTTCGCGTCATTTCATCACGCTAAATAACTGGAATTTACTCGGAAACACGAAATCATTACACAGATACGATGTAATAACTTTATATTTTATGAACAAAACTTTCTTTTCTCTTTTTATTCATTGTTTTGCTTCTATAAAAAAAAAAAGAAACATAAACGTAATTTGGAAAAAGATTTGAAAATTTTTGAAAAAAGACTATTTAATTTAAAAATTAATTAATAATTTAATTATTTAATTTAAAAATTAATTAATAATTTAATTATTTAATTTAAAAATTAATTGATAATTTAATTATTTAATTTAAAAAATAATTAATAATTTAATTATTTAATTTAAAAATTAATTAATAATTTAATTATTTAATTTATTAATCTAAATAACTAAATTACTAATAATTAGACTATTTAGTGACTTTAATATTTAAAGGGCAGCTCGAGATAATAATCTAGAAATATTAAAAGAGTCAACACGAAAAGATTGCAATGCCAGAGATGATGGGGGAATGACACCTACATTATGGGCAGCTTTTGAAGGAAATATAGATGCATTACGTCTTCTTGTTGCCAGAGGGTAAGAACTTTATCTACAATTATTATATAAAAAAAAAAATTGAATGCCTTGCAGAGTCTCTAAACTATAAAAACTTTTTTTCATTATTTAAATAACCGTTAGAAATAAAAATTACATTATATGAATTTTTTTTTTTTTTCAAAGATAACAAAGTAAGAAAATTTACTTCATATAATATATTATTAAATCCCATATATCCGTCTATATTGAGTTCATTGTCAAAAGAATTATTATTCACCTTCAATCGATCAACTACCATCTTTGGGGGACAAATCCTTTTTCTATTAAAACTGTACATTTATTACATATTAATGAAATTTCAACTTCTTCTAAAAGTGAAAACTACCGGAAATGTTTATTTTATAAAAATAATAATCGTATAAAGAACTTAAAAAAGGTTTTCATTGTTTGCAAAAAAAATTCAAAGTCTTCGAAACAATTTTTTAACTGACTATATACTAATACAAGGATTTTCAAATTATTAATTAATAAATAATTATGAAAATTAAGCGATAACGATAATTGAAATCATAATTACCGTAGCAATAAATTAAAAAATTTTAACGGAAACTTGTCTTTTAATTTAAAAAAATAAAAATTATTATTAATATTATTATTATAATATTATCATTATTATTATTATTATACTTTAAACACTGCAGCTCGAAAGGTATACACTTGAATAATTTTTACGATCGTTACAGTCTAGTTAAAAGTGGACAAAAAGGAATAAGATACTTCTTTATATAGAAAAAAGAATCTGTGATAGCAAATAGAATTGATCAAGAATGATAAGTTTAAAAAGTCACGATAAATGTTCCGAAAAAAATGTATATAACTTAAAAACAACAAATTTCTAATCACGTTCAAAAACTATGACAATAGCATTAAAATATATTTTTATACAAATATTAAAAATACAAATAAAAAGATTTAATCATCAATAAGAATGGACATTGAAATTAGATCAATTATCAATACAATATTTAGTAATCTATCGATTTCAACATGACCTTGAAAGTAATGTGAAAATAATTGTGCTAAAGATTACAATCATTACAAAGCTATCATTTATAGGTTAGAAAAAATTATTCAATCATAATTGAAGAGAAGAATTTTAAAAGGATAAAAGAAATGGCACAAAACAATAATATATTTAAACAAAAGAAACTTACCTGAACTGTTGTATTGATATTGAGTCGTTAACCTCTAACCTCGTCAAAACTTTTCGTGGCACATCTTTGAATGAGTTTATTTTCCCCTTAACCGCACTTTCACTCTCTTTTAATATAAGACGGATATACAAATGAACAGATAAATAAATGTTAAATACACCGGATATACACCACATAATCTGTATTTATTGAATTGACCGGCGACCGGGTGTACCGGGAACCGGCGGAAGTTGTGGGGAACTATATACGGGAACTATAAGACATAAATACAACATATAAAACACAAAAGAGGAAAAAATAAAACTAACAGACTGAATATTTGAGCACTTGGAATAAAACTTTCAATTATTTTCAATAAACAATTAATAAATTAATAACTTTTTTGGAGACACACTTTTCACATATGAATGCACTGAATGCAAAATGACAAAAATCAAAGATGGCGTCTTAAAGGGCGCGCATTTCTGGGGTTCCCGCCACTAATGCAAAAGAGAGGGAAATTCAAAATTTGCAAATTATTAATTAAATCATTTAATTTAATTCTTTTTTTAATAGTCTATTCTCATTAGAAATAATTAAAAAAAAATTTAATTTTAATTTTTAAGAATAAAAAAATGAATAATTATTAATATGTAGAGAAATTACTAATTGTTATAGTTAAATTGGTTATTGTTATTGATTCAAGCAGTTAAATTAACATAACCTCATAATGACGGATTGTCAACAATAACAAAACAAATTTTTTTGAGTGTATTAATATATTAAATTACTCATTTATTATAAATATAATTATATATATGTGTGATTTGTAAAAATGAAGTGTGAGTAAAATAATTCAAACTAAATATGTCATTTATGACAATTAATATCAAGTGAAGCACCTATTATCTTATCAATTGGTAAACAAAAGAACTGTCCAAAAAATTATCCCAAGGAATATAATTAGATATTAATATTAATGGAAGATAATAAAAAAAAGAAGATAGTAAAGTAAATATGTTTATATATTACATTTGTTAAACTTAAAAATTATTACTTGTCTTTTTATTATAGGAAGCAATGAATATTATTTTATTTTTTGTTCTCATTTTAAAACGCGTTATGTTTCAGGACTACATCTTTCCTTCCTGTTTCTTTTAAAAACGTAACGATTGCTTTTATTTTACTGAATAACAATTTTCATTTCCTTGATAAAACAAAAAAAATTTTTTTTTTTATTTATGTTAAATTTGTTTATTCTTGAAAAAATGAAACATGTATTAGTTTTATTTATTTTTAGATCTGATATAGGGAAATAATAAAAAATAAATATACTTTCCCGGAACTCGATATAGATTTTAATCAAATACTTTCCGGATTTTAAAATAAAAAAAAAAAGCAATGTTTTTGTGTAAAATATAAAAAGTTGCAAATATATTAGCTATTCATGAAATTGTCGAAACTTTTTTTTTTTATCAAAATTACAAAGCGCGTAATAACCTTCATGATTTTCCAGTTGAAAAACTTCTATGGCCATCGCGTGACAGGAAACAAGCGACCAATACATTATAGGGGTTGGGCTCAACTTATTTCGAAATTTCTTTTCAAATCGACATATCATTTTTTCAGGGGTGATCCCGACAAAGCTGATTATTTTGGAAATACTGCCCTCCATCTGGCAGCAGCTCGTGGTCATGAATTTTGCGTTCGATTTTTAGTTAAATTTGGATGCAATATTTGGTCATTGGACATTGATAGGCACTCGGCACGTGAATTGGCAGCAATAAATGGTTGGGAAAAAATTTTACAATTTCTCGATCTTGCACAAGCCGATCAGGAAATGAATAAAAAGAGTAAAATATTAAAAGCAAAAGCAGAAAAAGATGCAGAAAAAAGGTGTTTTGAAAATAATTTCAAATATTCTATTGATTTAATTTTTTATTTTATTTTAAGATCGAGAGAAATATAAAGTGAAAGTAATTTTTTTTTTTTTTTTAGATTAAAAGAATACTTAAAGAGGCAAAAAATTGCAGAAATTAAAGCGGAAAAGGAGCAAAAAAAGTTATTGAAAGATCGAGCAAAAATTGATACAGAATCAACGAATGATAATATTCTTCCTCACAGACCGAGTATTTTGACTTTTAAAGGGCGAGTAAAGCCATCACCAACTTACAGTGATATTGTAGGTACAGGAACTGGAACCAAGAGACAAGGAAGCGCTGTTCATAGAAAAGCCTTAGCAAGAAAGGCTGTAGATGATTTTAAAGTCGTTGAGGTAAATTATAAAATTTTTTCGACTATGGAATTAAATAATTTTATTATTAAATATTAATTAAATTATTCAGATTGAAGTGGACGGAAAGAAATCAGTGAGAAGTCTCACTGGTCTTAGACGAGATTCAGAAGTAATGTATGTAGGAACATATGAAACTAATTCACAACAACAAATTGGTAGAAGAGGGAAAATTTCTGATGTTTGGGGTACATTGAGTAAAGCACAAAGTACACCAGATTTACTTGGTGATAGAAAATACGAAGCGGATGGAGAAGATGATGACGAAGAATCAACGAACATTGTGGGAGAGACATTTCTTCTTCAAGAACCAGCCAGTATTTTCAATCGACCAGGTTTTGGATCGGTGGCCTTCCGTAGATCGGTAACGTTTCAGAATATAAACTCTTTTCAAGAGAAAGGAAGTGGTACTAGCAAAAACACTTTCAGCTTCCACAAAAAAAGTCCTTCTCAAGCATTTCAAACATTAACTCTCTTTTTCTCGACTTTTGAAATAAAACAATTTCTATTGAAACGAATTCATGAATCAATTTTTCAATAAATTAGAAAAATAAAATATATAAAAATTGTTAAATTATATAAAGTAAAATAATAAATTTATTGGAAATTTATTTTAATAAATTAAGTATAAGAATAAAATTAATAAAAGCGTTAGTAACACTCACTTTCGTTTTTTTTTTATTCTAGGTGACTGCAACACTTGAAAATATTCCTGTCACTCAAGTAGAAATTCATCACGAGCCGAGTGGAGAAAGAGTTCGTAATGGTTCGACAAAAGGGTCAATAAATAGTCAAAAAAATGGAACGAATAATATTCACAACGAAGATATCAGCATCGGAAGCGCGGGAAGCTTGGCTAGAAGACAAAACATGTGGGATGATGAACTATTGTCTGGTAATTGAAAAAAAAAAATGATTAAAAATTTATTTTTCTAAATGAACAATTATAATATTAAATTTGAGTAAAATAATATAATATAAAAAATTTTAATTTATATTTGAATATAAATTTAAAATATATAACAAAAATGTTCAGTAAAAAAAAAAAAGTAATTACCTTCTTAAATAGATGATGATGAAGAAGCGGACTGGACGGCTTTACAGAGATTTTTGGCAGTCAATAATTTATCATCGATTCATTCAATTCTAGAAGCAGAACAAATTGATTTAGAAGCACTACTACTTTTAACAGAAACCGATATTACAGCATTGAAACTTCCACTCGGTCCTAGAAGAAAATTATTAGTTGCAATCGCAAATCACAAAGAGACCCTCGACAGTCAAAATGCCATCATAGATAGTAGATTATAAACTAAAAAACATATTTTATAATTATAATTTATACTTTAATATTACAAAAAAAATAGTTATCTACTTTTCAGAGTAAATTTTTCATTAAAATTAGAAAACAATTTGCAGTTTAAAAAACTTTAAATTTTTATAAAGCTTTAAAAATTTAGATAAAATATTTTAATAATTAGCTTTTAGAAAATATCTAATTAGAATAAGAAAATAACAGCACGCATAGTTTATTTACTTATTTTAAAAACACAAATTACCATTTGTTTACGTGATATTTGTATTGTGTTAGTAAAAAAAAAAAAAAATTGTAAATATAGTTTATATTAATAATAATTCGCAAATTATTGTAAGACGTGTTGTACATTTTCTTAATTTTATTTGTAAATAATTATCATACAAACAAGAGGCAAAAATATACAAGCTTTTTTTTATGTTCGCAAGAAAATAACAGCACCATACGTTCTTTTTTTTTTTACCAGATAATGCGGATCTTATATAACTTTCTTCCCCATACAATCGTTCACGGTATAACATGTATACAACGAACAAAAACAAAGTGACCTATTGTTAAATAATTTCGAAGTATAACAATTAATTATTTTCAAATTTAAACTAAAAAGATTCATTTTCTTTTCTAAGTAACATTCTTCGTTGTTTGTAAAATTCATCAATTAAAATACATAGGTGATTAATATTATTTTTTAAAACTAAAAATATTCAAAAACTTCCAAATAACGAAGTTGTCAACTAAAAATACAATGATTTTTAATTTATTTATTCTTAAAAATTTTTTTTTTATTTTTATATTAAAAAAAAAAAGAAAAAAATTTTTCTTTTTTAAAGAAAAAAAGTTTTTAACAATAATAGACGTTTTTGTCCGTATATACTATTTTTTATAGATTACCTACTTAATTATTTTCTGCGTGTCCAGAGTCTGAGGATGACTTTTGATGCAGAAATAATTATTTCTCTCACATTCTCCATCAACACGCTTCGATTTGTTTTCATAAAATCATTAATTTTCCAATTACGAATAATGGAGATGAATGCAACGAACAATATCGAAGAAAGCAAAGGTATTTTTAAAAAAATAAAACAAATAAATTTTTGACTTTACATATTTTGAACATGGCAGATTAAACAGAAAATTAAATACCTTTATTAATATAATTTATTACATCGGTTTATTAATTTTTAATTAATCTGTCATATTCAATTTTCCTCGATTGTGACCTTTTGCATTGTAATTTTTTTTAAGGAGAGTAGTTTGATTATATGTAATTCATTTTGAGCGAAATAGAAATCTTGTTTGCCAGTTGCACGGTCAACTTTTTTTTGTTTTTCTTCCTATACAAAAAAAAAAAGAAAAATATAATTTAAAAAATAAAAAAATTGTTGCGTTGATGAAACTTTCTTACTCTGTTTATCGTCTTTCGTAAATTGAAGACAAATCGAGTATTTCTGTTTACTTTATTATATTCATATCTTAAAATTAATAAAAACGGTAAAGCTATATTGATATTCTAAAGAGACATTTTACAGTCTATCTGCTAAATTTTGCAAGTAATTTATTTTGACTGGAAATTATGTTGCAAAGTAATTCATTATACTTTGAATTCGGTAACACATTTTTTTCTCCTATTAATGCACAAATGAAAATTACTTTTTACATTAAAATGATAAAAATATACATAATTTTTACCAAAAAATTTTGAATGTATATTATATATATATATAAACATATATTGAAACATTTCAAATATTACAACTTCTTTTTTTTGTCATCGAATTGCAATTTGAAATTAATTAATTAAATTAATTAAATATGTTTCAATAATTTTAAATTAATCAAACTAATAAAATAAGGACAGTGCAACGATTTTGGCATCATCAGTAAACGTACTGTGCATGCATGTATACAATTTTTAATCTATGCGCAATTATTTTCTGTAACAATAGTTATTTCTATATATACCAGACAAGACAAAAAACTAATCGATAGCGTATATCTACAAAATCAAGAATGTTCTTCTTTTTTTTTTTTCTTTACAAAATGCACCTAAGTATGGCATCTTTGTAAATATCTCTTCTTCAAGAGAATTTTCCTTCCCTTTTACAAGATAATGTCTGTACATTAAAGATAATTTTTTCAGTTTTTTTTTAAAAAACAAAATCTATCTTAATTTTGTTTCCTTTCAAGTATTCCAAATATTGAGTCAGACTTGAAATATTTTTTTGTGTTTGTTAATATATTTATAAGTGCTGACTGTTTGATAAATATTTTAATTAAAGCTATCGAATAGAGTCAATAATTATTAGTTTTATCAATATTAGCATTATTCATACACTTTATGATTATTAGCGTACACTATATTTACAACTGAACAACAATTCTGGCTTACACACGAGACAAAAGCTCGTTCGGAAGTCTCAAATATATAGAGAAAACAAATGCAAAACTCTTTGATTTTTTTTTTTAAAATAAAAATGGGAAATTCGAAAAAATGTAAATGTGTGGTGTTAACTTTACAAGAAAAAAAAAAATTCAATATTTATTTTAAAAAAATTGACTAGTGAATAACATTCACTAACTATTCAGCTAGAATTAATTAATTTAATTTTACTAACATTATTTTTATTAAAAATTATTAATAGACGATAATATTCAAAAATATTGTATTCAAATTGAATGAAAAAATTTTCGAAATTCTATTTATTCCCTTTACAAAAAAAAAAAAAAAAATCTACGAGAATTGCTGTACCTCGTTTACGTCTGACATAAGTTATTAAAAATGTTAATTCATACGTGCATTATAATATTCAGAGAACTGATCCTTTTTTTTTCGAAGCCAAAAACATTGCGAACATTCGTTTTTCCAAAAATATAATGATCGCATTGCCATTCACAACTTTGATACATCCTAGATATAAGTTGTCACCTATATACAATTAAAACAAAGCTTGAACAAAATTCACTATACCAATTTTTGTTTTTTTTTTTTTGACAATTTTTTTTTTTTGTTTCAGTATAAATATCAAAAAATGTTATCACTTAATGCATTTCTTAATACATTTCTAATTAAAATTTACTTAATTTTTATCTAGTCCATAACAATAACTTCTTTCATTAATTAATCATCACATTTATGAATTAAGAATAATGATAGTGAATTTTGTTCTAGCATTTTTCGACTACAATGAGGTGTAATTGTTGCTCCTGTAAAAAGTCTAGACAGATTTCGATTTTTAGTTCCGATTTTTTTTTTTTTGTTTGAGCTCTGATTTAAACACATTTATACAAAAACAAAGAAAATTTCAAAATTTTCTTTTCCCTCACTGTATGACCTGTACAACGGAAAGCAAAACTAATTTCCTTTTTTCTTTTAATTGTTCTCCACTAAGAGCAATGAATTTTGAAGAGAATTTTTCTACCTAAAATCAGAGAAGAATAAATCTTCGTATAGAATTAAAGAGACTAAATCTCCGCCTAGAATAAGAGAATAAATCTTCGTCTAGAATAAAGAGAATTAAATCACTACGACAAAATATGAAAAATACATGAACAAGAACTTAATTGTTCTTTGTTTCCCTGAAAAAAGATTGCACATGATGAAAACGACTCTAGTTATACATAAACAAACAGTACAACTTTTAAGTATTATTTCTGGAAATAATGTATAACAAAATTGATTTTTACAAATAGATTATGCACTGACAAAGAAATTTTTTTTTTTTTTTTACCAAATGTTCAAGACAAAGATAGATAAGATAAATATTTAACTAAAAAGAAATGCAGTGAGTTATCTTTTTTTTTTTGTAATTAATTTCTAATTATTTCTTTTTGCGTGCAACTTGTTCTTTCAATTGTTTGTACCTTATAGGGCAACAAAAAACTTTGTAAAAAAAAGACATTTTTATTCGTAAAGATTTAGAAATATCAAATTCTCTATAATTACGTAATATAACAACGTTATAATAAGTAAAGAAAAAAAAAACAACAATTTTTAAATTACGAAAGGACTTTTTTTTCACAAATATAAATGTACTTTCGTACTTACTCGGTATTTGTTTTTTTTTGACAGTAAAATAGCTACAAAATACCTAATTTTTCAAAATCGGCACGTTTTTAAATTTATCCGAGCACACGACAACAGGGAAAAAGATTATAAGGTACTTAATATGATAATAAGTTGGTTGCACGCCCAGAAACACCAAAAACTTCTCATTATCTCGCTTGCTCAAAACTTCGTATACAGAAATCTTCTTTTACAGATCGGCACTTGACTTCTTCTTCATCAGAAAATTTTTCTCAAATGAAAATTGCGATAATTTCTGCGAACTTTTGACAGTCGAGTAATTTTTTTTTTTTTTCTTTTAATGGGGGTATGTATGTCATGCTCACGGATTTCTTTGGTGCAATCGCTGCTTAATAGCGATAGACGCAGAGGTTAGTCTAAAAAAGAAAAGAAAGAAAAGAAAGGGAAGAACCCAATATTTTTTTTCTTCAAAAAGGGCCGACGAACGTGCTCTCTTTTGGTTAACTATTAGGTTTTTTTTTTTTTTTATAATCCAATTTTGCAAGATGATTATAAACAGTAGAAAAAAATCATTTTTCAAAATTGGATATTGGATATAGTTAATAACTAATCAGTAGGAAAAAAAGGCGTGTGTTGCTACTTTACAGTTCGCGCGCCGTTACATGAAACGCGATCGTTTGTGCGTTGGAGATCCCATGTCCACATCGTGAGAGGCTGGTCTTTTATGATGACGGGCAAATTCACTGCTTATAAAAGCGGATAATTCTGTTTGTCGACCCATTCGTCGTGACATTGGTGAACCTAAAATTCAAGTTTCAAATTAAAAAAAAAAGTTAACTCTTGTTACAAAAAGAGAAAGAGAGAAATAAAGAACATACCAGAAAGAGCAATTGCTTCCCGAAAAGTGTGTAATTCTGGATCTACATCACTTCCTGGTGTTGGAGTTGGTGTTACAACCATGCTTGCCGTTGGACTTTGAGGTGGTGAACCACAAACCATCATTCGTGGTTTTGGCGAACTTCTATCGAACGATTTCAATATAATTAACATTTGTTATTTTTTATAATTCAAACTATTATTAATTTATTAAATAAAAAATAATTAAAGAAGTTAATAAAAAATATAAACATTGAAACTATTTAAATATTTATTGTTTTTAAATATATAGCATAAAAGCTTGAGAGAAAGGTTAAAATTGTTGCAACGTTACCTGTGCGAGTGTGGCCTTGAAGGAGGTGGTTTACCAGCGAGATATGCTAACAGGTCTTCCCTGCGAATCATGCGCCTCTTTTTTCTAGCCCAATTCATTATTTCTTTGCTACGTTTTTGCTTTCCCGATTCAGTGCCCAATTCACAACACTTCTTCATGCCTTCCACCGATTCTGTAAGTATATCAAATTAATTTTTCAATAGAAAATTTGAGATTTCATAATTAAAATTTATGAGTAAAAAAAAATCTGGAAAGTCGTATAAATTTTCATTTTAGGATCAAAATATTAAATTTTATCCTGTTTTGTTATTTGAAGCAAAAGGCATTTCAAAAAAAAAAAAAAAAACTTGAAAAATTTAAATACACAAAGAAAAAGAACTCGTAAACATGTTCCAATAGTGACGAAATTATTTGAGCTCAAGTTACACGACAATAGTTATTTCTAGAATAAAAATAAATTCGTTTTTCTTAATTCTGTCTCTGAAAAAGAAAGAATTTACTCTTTTTAGTTTCACTTTTTTTTTAGCCAACAAGAAAGAATTTATATGTTATAAAATAAAAATGTAAAAAAAAGTCTTTGAAAATGATTGTGAAAAATACAAATGTTGAAACAGCTGATCAGTGTCAAAGGTCAGCTGTTTTCGTCTAATGATCTAAATGCATGCAAATTTTAGAAAATGCACAAAAGTGGTGTGACAGGTATAAATAAAAACAAAAAGGGTTTTAAATCACAATACTGGAGAAAGGATGAAATATTTTTAAGTGGGGGATGTTGTAGGTAAAAAGAGGGAGAGGTTAGCCTTGCAACCAGCACTGTTGACAGCGAAGGTAACGACGCAGACACGCACCTTTGTACAACGAGGTAACCGTACCCGCAGCAGTCTGAAAGGGCAACCAAAGGGATGCACCCTGGGAGCGATCTGCAAAAAGAGAGAATAAATTCCACGTTAGAAAATCGATAGACACAGAATTCACTAGCGAGCAATCGTGCCTCTTCTCACAAAATGGATGTCACTCAAAATGGCAACAGAATACTGAACTTAAAAGCAAGGGGGTTAATCACTTTTTCAGGATACTTTGAGGCAGGATTGCTGATGTTAAAAAAAAAAAACAACACAATATATGACGCAGCCTGCCTTTATAAAGTTGGGCTATGGCTGTTGCCGTAGAATGAAATCCGGACCAAATTTGTTGCGCGTAAAATTCCTTTTGGTTGTGCAGCTGATTTTCATAGTCGGGCTCGGCCTCGATCGCCTCAACACATTGCTGTTCCCAGTTTGAGTACCAAAGATCCATTATAGGATCCTCCTCGCTTCTATCGTCACTCATGGCTTACACTTCACACACCCACTTGAACTCGCGAGAACAAGTAAACTTCGCAGCTTTTTGAATGCACCACAACCACTCACTTCCTTCCGAGTCAAGTCGCAGCCATTACGATTTAACCTCGGATTCATGAAACTGCTACAGCAAAAGATTGTCGACACACGCGAACAAAATAAAATAGATACGAACGTACGACAGCACATACGTTCCTTCCCTTTCCACCCAATACAAGTTCCACACTTGCAGAATTCTCATCAATTTGTTGTAGTTAATTTATTATTTGACAGATGTCGCTAGCTGTTTAAACGGAATGTGCTGCCATCTTGAAAAAAACGTTAGGAACTTTTATCAATTCGAATTGAATTCAGTTTCGCTCATTTGTTCGTTAGTTTTTCTTGTAAAATCAGTGTTAAAAAGTGTTATATGCAAAAAGTGTTGTTTGTTTTGAGAAAAAAGTGAAAATATACAAAAGTTTTGTGTAAATAATCGTCATAGTGAGGATCATGTTATCTTTTCGTTTTGGAACGTGCGTGGAAAATAGTAAACTACTCTTCCGGATGGAATTTGGTAAATATACTTTGTTTTTATCATTTATACATTTATTTGTATTAATTAATTACGTTATTTATTCGTTTCTACTGTTATCACATTGTTTGACAATCCTAACCTCATTTCAACTAATGCCATGTGTATCTTTTGGCAATGATCCAAAATTGCACCTATAAAGAGAGGTTAAACAAAAAATGTTCACTTTATAGCTTATTTATGATCCGATTTTATTATTGTCCAAAAATTTCATTAAATAGAAATATATATATATATATATACAACGTCAAATATTTCATAAAAATAAATTCTTTTAAATACACATAATATATTATCGTTATATATATCTATAAATGCATATATATGTACATCTAAAAAAAATTTTGTACAAGTATATAGTATATTATAAAACATTTACAAATTTAACTTTTTTAACAAATAAAATATGTATTAAGTACAAAGATGTAATATTTTCTTGAGTTTCGTATTATATAAATGAATAATATAAAATTTATATTGCACTAACTATAACAATAAAATCTCTCTCACTATATATTCCAATATTTTAGTATTCATTATATTGTTTCATTCCGAATTAATGGAATTTTAATAATATCTGTTCGAGTAAATCATCCTTTTACATATTTTGCAAACAACTTTGAAAGCTTTTCATAACATAGTCTTTACTCTCTCCTCCCATACATATTGTTTTAGTTTGTTTTAATCCATAAATATGATTTTTTTTTCGCTATGAAAATCCATTTGAACCATCTGCCGATTTTTCTGGCAAACATTTTGTTATTGTAGGCTCTATCGACTTCCAGACTTCCGCCAACTGAAAAATGGATAATTTTTTTTAAAATAATGAAATATTTATAGAAACCTTTTTTTTTTTTGGTACCATATATTTTTGTTATTAAATAATACCTCTGAGTGACCACGAATTTGAACGCTTACAAGACTTTGTAAAACAGTTGCGAGAATTTCTAAATGAGCATGAACCAATTGTGTTTCCATATGAAGACAATGTAAGGAGAACAAATTTCTTAATTCAACATTGGCAATTACTGATTCTTGAGCAACCATTTTATTTTCTAAATATTCGACAGTATCCGCCTGTGAATAAAATAGAAATTTTTTTAAAAAGTAATTTTATATTAATTTTTATAATTATTTTAATTTTTAAATTGATAAACTTACATCAGTTCCTCGTATTACTCCTTGCATTTGTCGCTTTTTTAAAGATAACATTGTTGACAATGCTCGTTGATGATCAGCACTGACTCCTCTTTCATGTCTTTCACATAAACTTCTATGAGCAATAAGAATGTCCAACAATACATTTAAACGCTCGCAAACAACAGTTTCTTCTCTCACCGCTTGTTGTAAAGCTCTTGTTGATAGTAAATTAATTTCTCTATAATAGAAATATTTTATTGTTACAAATTCTCTATAATTAATAAAATTATTAATTAAATAATTTAAAAAAATATTTAAATATTTAAAAATATTTATTTTAAATTATTCTCTCACTTTGAAATAGTGTGAAATCCTTTTTTCATGTCCTCCCAAATTGTCAAACCTCCCGTGGACCATGGACTCGTTTCATGTGATTGTGATGCTAAATTATTTAATTGCGTTCCCATTTCCACCATATCAACAGCATAACTATGCGATCTAATAGCCAAACAATCGGCAATAGTTTTTAATCGTGAAATTCCCAAAAGTATCACACGTATTTGATCTCTACTATTGGCAAATTCAGTTAATGCCTCAGGTGGTACTAATTCCTTAGCTCTTGATGATAATTCTGATGTGCCAAATTCATCAGGTACTCTTCGAAAGACTTCACGTATTTTATGTTGTGTTTCCTCGCCAGTGTAGGTGAAAAAAAATTGTACAATTGGATCTTTATTTACAACTGGATGTCGTGCAATTAAAGTGAGAAATCTTAATAGAGATCTTCTTCGTTCTTCCAAAAATTGTGAATCAGCTGTGAAAAATTGAATAAGCGAGTAATGAGAAAATAATTATTATTATTATTTTTCTTTAAAATATAATACGATAATTGACTTACCACCGACAATTTTCTTTGGAGGCAATTTTGGTATTAATCTGTAGGGAAATCTTGTTAAAAGAAGTTCATGTAATGAAACAAAATCATTGTATCGCCTGTAAACCATGGAATTGAATCTCTAAAAAGAGATTTAATATTAATTTTATTGCTTTAGGATTATATATTTGGTACACTGAAAACGAAGCTGAAGTACGCAACGTTTATGATAAACAATTTTTAAAGAAATAATTTTTTAAAATGAAAAATTCTATAATTTTTCGCCTAAAAAATATTTTTTGTAGTTTTCATTAATTAATAAATTATAAAAAAATATTTTTTAAGCAAAAAATTATAGAATTTTTCATTTTAAAAAATTATTTCTTTAAAAATCGTTTATCATAAACGTTGAGTACTTCAGCTTCGTCACTGAAAAAAAATTTTATTTGATTCAAATACTCGATTACTTGACTATTATCAAATAAATATTTATACTTGAACCAAATAATTTTTATTTGAATTAAATAAATTTTATTTGAACCAATAATTTCTGTATTTGACTCAAATAATAATTATTTGATATAAATAAATATTTATTTTGATAATATTCAAGTAATCGAGTATTTGAATCAAATAAATTTTTTTTTCATGTATATTAAAATTACCTTGCTTGTAACTTGATATTCCACGTGTTTGAGAAATATTCCTTTTTTCTCTGGTACTAAATTGACTTCAATTGTGTCTATATTACAAATATCAGAATAGGTGAGATTTAATTTTGATGGATTATATCCTCTGTGTAATCGTTGGGCCAAAAGTGTCACTTCTGCCAAATCACCCAGAGTTGGCACAGGTAATTCTAAAATTAAAAAATGTATAAATAATTTTATTTATTATTATTATTATTTTTTTTTTTTTTTTTTTGTTTGATTATATTAACCTTGTGTTTCGGAATTTTCCAAAAGTTTGTCACTTGGTTGTTTTCCTTGTTGAGCAAATCCAACTAAAGCCAGACCTTTATACAATCCACTTCGTGTCAAGTATCCTATTTTACTGTCAACCAGTTCCCATATCTAAAATAAAGAATTTTTTTATAAATTTAAAATTAAATTAATTTTAATTAATTTTTTAATTATTTTTATTAATCGTTTTATAAATATTAATTAAAAAATTAATTTTCCACAATTTGATTTAGAGAAATTTTTCAATATTTTATTTGCAGCCTTCGATTTCCATTGTTTCTGATTTTTACGAGAATTTCTTAATAATTTTAGTGAAATCGCGTTTAATAATAAAAATTCATAATTGTTGGTACATGAAGTGAAGCGTAAAATTTAATAAAAATATTTAAGTAAAATTATTCGCGTCCGCGTGACAACGGAAGTAAGAGGGAATTCAGGGTTACTATATAATAATGTCTCTTCTTTTGTATAAAAATAGAGAAGTCAAATAAAACTTGGAAAGATATGTAATATATATTAAAATTAAAAGACCTTAATAATTTACAATTAATGATTGCATAAGAATAGATGAGAAATAATTGAAGCGAATCTCAATTAGAAACATAAAGATCAGACATTGATGATACTCAAGCCTTGACCTCTAAACTTTCATACATACTTAGAAGAAAGTAACTATATATATAGATATATAATTTCATTGAAGATTAATTTATTCGCATATATGTGTCATGATTCTTACAATCATTTCTAATTTTAAAAATATCCGTTTGCAAAAAAAAAATTATTTTAAATAATTCGAGAAAACCAGATTTGTTTCCACTGTGTTGAATCATTCATTTCGTTAAAAATCATTTAACAAAATGAATTATTCAAGTTGAATTATAGTTGAGCAAAGTTTGAAAATCATCTAAAGTCCAATTAAAACTTCTTTTTTTATCTCAATGGTCATTCTCTTGAGACCTCCAAAAAAAAATAAAAAATGGGAAAAAAACTAAAAGATAACAAACTAATTAATGTACTTTGTATTAATAATTAAAAAAATAATACAATAAGTAAGATTTTAATAATTTTTTTTATTTAATTACAGAATTATGGATGGATTTACCTGGCTGATTTATTGACTTCATATACTTTCGGCCAAGAAGTGGTTTTTACCTGACTGAATTAATTAACCAAGTGAGTGGAAATTACATACTTTTTTTTTAGAAAATTAAGAAGTAAAAACAAAAACTTCCTTTTTAAACAAAAATAGAATTTAGAATTTTTTTTTTCTTTTAAAAATAGTGAAAATGTCTATTTTTCTCGCAGCAATAGACTAGAGAGTTAATTGAAATTAATTGAAACTACAAAAATATAAATCTTTGAAAATGAAAAGATTGTGATTATGCATTTACGATTAAGATCAGTGATTTATTGTTTGTTCTTCTTCCGCTTTATGGCAATTACAAAATAAACATTTCTTCTTTAAAAAGATTCGAGATGACGAGAGCTGGTACCACAAATACTGACTCAATAAATTTAAAAGAGTGTGAGTCTATGAACACATTCACATTGTTAGGCAGTACAAGTGCACTAGGTATCAATTACGTCTACTTGTATATCCGTCCCTTATCACTATGCAATAATAACTATTATTAATATATTAAAATGATTACTAACTTCCCTCATTATAATATTGTCAACCACTTGTCTTTATTAAATTTAATTAATATAAGTGATTAAAAAAAATATTACATTTTTAAAAATTTTTTTTTTTTTAATATTTTTATCATTTATAATTTATAATTAAAAATACACAATTGAAAATAATTATTGAAGGAGCAATTAGAATTAGGAGGAAAAAATTGTTAAAATTTTTCTATATAGTTAAATAAAATTTATAAAAGTTAGTTTTATATAAAATTCTTATTCATAGTATGTCAGCTTTTTTATATCATCAACGGGCGTTTCAATGATAAATATTTCCCGATAACTTGTTTTTTTTTACACCGATTATAAAATACCGCTTAATTATTTACCGTCTTTCGTTATTTTTAAACAAAATAAACAATCTTTTATTCTGGTGAAAGTTAAATTTAATTCTTCTAAATTACAAAATTTCTATTCTTTACTATATATTAAAATAAATTTTTACAAATTAAATTTTACTTAATTTTATTTTAATTTTTATAATATTATATGAAATTATTCGGAATGTTAGAGATTAGCTTTCTCAACACTTTTTGCCATTTTTCGTTTCTTCAATAGAATCTATTTGTCCTGAAGTGGACATTTAATCTTTTAATTATACCTTCGATTTTATCCTTTTATGGATACCAATCTTTAGTCTTAGATATTTTTAAAATATATCTTCTAAATTTCATTTTTTATAAAGGCTTGAATTTTTTTTTTTAAGATTTCATTTCATTTCTAAAAATAGTTTATAATTGTATATTATTATTATTTAATAATTTTAAAATTAGAGCTTTACATTGAATTCCTAGTGAATAAAATGTGACCTTGCTATAGAATGAGATGCAGTCAAAAGTGAAAGGTAAAATAGAAGATATTAACTCAAAGCCAGAGAAATATATCGTCTATGAACCGAAGTAAAGACTTTTTTTTTCCAAATAAGATATTCCCCTGAGTGTATATATCGCCCAAGGTGAATGAACTTCATTCAAATGCAAAATATTTCAATTCTTAACAAATATATGTTATATTTAGGACAAGTTCTCAAGTTTCACTCCAGTGATTCTGTATTTAATTTTCTCGCGCAGTTTATTTAAACATTTTTTAATAATCATTTCAATGATTATTAATTATTCGAATATTATATATGCAAAAAAATTTATTCAGTCTTCATTTTATTAATATTGTTATCTTCAGGAGTAAATTTTACAAAGTATAAATTAAATGCGCATATAATGTTTGTTAAAAATATCGTTAAAAAAAAAAAAATTGTCAATCAATAAAAGAAGAGACAAAATTATATGAGTCGATCTCAATTCACGCCTAAAGGAACCTTGAGTCAAAACCGGTTTATATATTCTGCAAAGAGATCAAAAAATGAAAAAAAAAAATAAAAAATTTTTTATTTTTACTTAACCTCGACAATCTCAAAATTACATTGAAAAACAAACATGCCTCAAGATATTCAAAGTTCAATTATAATCAATTATAAAAATTTCCCAGAGTAAAATCGATAAAGTAGAATGAGAAATAGAAAAAAATTAGTTTCAAAGTTTAGGAAAATATTTTCGATTTTTCAATTTTAATTTAGATTGACGTCACAGAAAATTAAAAGGCAACGCTTATTATTTTAATCCATTTTGGTATTAAAATAAGCAAAATTGAATTAAAATAATAAGCGTTGTAACTTATTTTAATGCCTTTTAATTTTCTGTGCTAAGTTTAAAAAATAACTTTTCGATTTGTCTTTTTCTTTTTAATATTTTCCATATATTATTAGTTCAAAGAACTTGTGTGTGACATAAGTTATTAACTAATGCATAAATGTTGTGAATTTGGTTATTATGAACTTTCTGTGAGTAGTGAAAGATAAAATGTTGTTAGTATTATGACGCGATGTCCTAATTTCTTGAGACCGCTATATTCCTGTTCGCACGGTCGAATCACGTATGGCTTTTGAATTACAGGTGCCATAGTGCCTTAAAACTGTACTTTTTTCTCTTCTTATTGCATATACTGTAGTATATGTATCTATTTTACCTGACTAAGAATAGAGCTGCTTAATTGTGATTTGACAAGAAGCGATTTAAACACTTCTTTTTCCACATTTCCACTAGTTGGTGAACAAATTTTTTGATACACATCTCGATAAAATGCTGGTATCGAACCTGTAATTAAATTTATTTCAATTAATTATTATTATTATTATTATTAATTAGTTATATTTCAATTATATTAATATTTTAATAAATGACACGATAAAGAGTTATAAACAATGAAATAATAATTCAATAATGACAGATATTTGAAATTTGTTGTAATAATATTATATAATCATTTTTTACTTGCAACAAAAATTTAACTATTCCATTGTTTTCGCTTAATTTAATTATTAATTATTATAATTTTGCATATTTTTTTTTCTTCATCTAAATCAAAAATGAAATATTTAATAAACCGAGTCATAATCGTATCAAAGGATGATAAGTGATAACATGTAATAATTACATATTTCGTAATAAAAGCAACATTAAAAAAAAATAATGTAATTTTCTATTATAAATTTTTTGCATCTCTTATTGAAAAATTTGATCACGAAATAGGCTTCTAAATTATGCTGCCATATATGACGCATATTATCTTCTATAAGTACAAATGGCAATATCAAAATGTGACAGGAAATAATTTATTTTCATTCTTCCTGCTTCAATAAATGTTTTAATATTTTTTAAAACGTATTTTACACTTTGACGTAATGCATCAAAATGTATACAGAATGAAAAAAATTTTTTTAAAAATAGTTAAACAATTTTTTTTTTTTAATTTATATTTTTTGCTAACTTTTTTTATCAAATTTATTAAAATATTTTATTACGAATTCATATACGCAACAATTTCTTTATAATTTGATGTTTATACAATATTTTCACCTGTATAAACACCGGTACCAAAATAAAATGATTATTTAATTATTCTCTTTCATATTGCTGAAACCAGTTTTAATTATATGTTTTAAATTCATTATTAAAGAATATTCTAAAAAAGAGGAAAAATTATTCATTTATATTCAAAGTAAAATAATATAGAAAAAAAGGGACATTTGTAGATTTTATTTACCTGACGATAGATCGGTTGACGCCATATTGGTGCACTTTTAAGATCCTGGAGGATCGTTCCAGGATTATTTGATTTTAAGGATAAAAGTTCCTTTTAACACTGTTAAATTTTTTTTTTTTTTAATATATACGATTTTGATAACACTTTTTTTTCAATTACACTAACAAGTTTTGACGTTACTTTACAAATGGGAACGTCGACAAATCGAACGTCGCATGCCATTGCCGTATGGCGCAGAACTGAATTAAGAACTACTGACAGTAAAACCTGTTTCTTTTGATGCATTACGGCCTCTCGTGGTTTCTGTTTAGACTAAATTGTTGTGAAAGTGAAAAAATTTATGTCTTTTTCATGTAAAAAATTATAAGATACAAACTATTACTAAAGGGGATACCGGATTTTTTTCCGCTAATATTGCTTTCCAAATTAATTTTTTTAATTTTATATTCCCTTTCAAAAATATTGTTTAACAATATATAGAAAAAAAAGGATTTCATCAAAAATTAAAAATTGAGCGACGAAGGTTATTAAAAGATTTATATATATATTTTAGAAAATTTTATTTTTATACGATTGAGGTATACTATCGTTTTATAGTATTTTAATGATATTAAACTTATTCATACTTTAGAAAATCAAAATTTTCTCGATTTTTTTTTTTAACAGGAAAGTTCTCCCATAGGATAAGGATTTGGTGTTTGTCTCAATTTTTCTAATTCTTTTTCAAGTCCTGTTGGCCGTTTTTTATTCAATGATTGAATAAGACGAAGTTTTTCAGCAACTTCCTGTTGTATTATTATCCGATATTTCTTCCCTTGTCCCAAGGCTTCCATATCCTTTAGAAATTCGATTCTTTCGCGAATACCTTGGACAACTGAAAACGATTTATATTTTGATAATAAATTCTTTGAATTTTGTACACTGAAAAAAAATTTATTTGGTTCAAATACTCGATTACTTGACTATATTATCAAATAAATATTTATTTGAATTAAATAAATTGTATTTGAACCAATAATTTCTGTATTTGAAACAAATATCATTTAATTGACTCAAATAATAATTATTTGATACAAATAAATATTTATTTGATAATAGTCAAGTAATCGAGTATTTGAACCAAATAAATTTTTTTTTCAGTGTATTTTTATATAATTTTGTTTTATATTTATATAATCATAGTGCAATTGAGATGAGATTCATATATACTCACGTTCCTCAAAAATTTCATCATCATTAGGAGTAGGGGGTAGTTTTTTAGCTCTGTGTAAATTTAATGGTCCATTAGGAGTTGGCGGCATATCCTTACCATACGCCATCATGTGCGCTAGATGACGTTTTTGTTTTTCCATATCAGCTGTAAAAAGAAAAATTTAATTCTCAAGTGCGCGTGTGATATTGAAAAAATATTACAAAATTCATACGTAATGGTTCAGTTCTTCTAAATTGTTCTCTCTCATTGTTAATTATCAAATTTTGCGATCGTTTTCTCCATACACTTGGATATATTACCTATAAGGAAAATTATAAATTAATTAATAATTAATAATTAATTATTACTATAATTACGTAGAATATTACCTGGGGTTCCTTTTCTTTTTTCTTATCTTTCGCCGATTTTGGATGAGGTAAAGATTCTCCACGATCCACAGCTTTTTGAATAGATTTTCTTTGCATCATACTAAGCTTCGATTCTTCCATTAATTCTAAAATCATTAATCTAAAATTAATTCTAAAAAAAATTAATAAATAAATAAAATATTAAATTAGATATAATAAACAAAAATTAGATAATAGTATCTGCTTCATAAATTGTTCCGTAATAATAAAAATATCTCGTACCTTTAATTAAATTTCTCGTTTCTTGACTATATTTTGCTCTTGGTGGATTGTGAATTGCTCCAATTCCAATACCAACTCTTTGTGTCATATTTGTTTCCCTTTTAGAATGAAAACTAAAATTGCAATTTCAATTAATGTTAGAAGAATTGATGAAAAAATAAAACAGAATGTATGTTTAAGAAAAAGGGGGTTATATCAATCTGACTAGGTTTCTATGACTACATGCGATAATTGAAAAAACTTTCTCCCACACAGAAAAAAAAAATTTGAAATAAACAAATTTTGATTAAATTAATCATTGAGTTTTTTTTAAATTTAATTTTTTTAATTGTTTAAAAAAAATTAACTAATTAATTTTAATTAATTATTTAAAAATTAAATTAAATTAATTAAAATTAATTAATTATTTAATTAAATTTGAAATAAACAAATTTTGATTAAATTAATCATTGAGTTTTTTTTTAATTTAATTTTTTTAATTGTTTAAAAAAAATTAACTTTTTAACAATTAAAAATAATAACAAAAATTAACTCAAAAAATAAAAATTAATTCAATTTTAGCTCTTTGAATCAAAAATTTATTTAAATCGAATAAATGTTTTAAATGATAAATAGAATCTTAAAAATAATTTTAAAATTTCATCAATATAATAAAATCAATTATTAATAATTAACAAAATTTGAATTCAATTCAAATGAAAATTATTTGATTCTATCAATAATATTTTTTTTTGCACAAAAACACAGTCCTTAGCAACAAAAATAAATACTTTTTTTTTTTTTTTTACAAATTTTTTGCAAAATTTTTTGTTTTATTAAATTTCTTTATGAAATGAAATTAACTGATTTTGTATCTATTTTTATCATTTATATACCTATATATAAATTATTTGTATCTAGTTTTCCAACTTTATGTATATATTTGCTCCGGTTCTAGAAAATTAAACGAAAATGCGCATGTCTGACGGCCTACAGACAGGGGTTGACCCCGGGTTGGAAAATTTTGTGATTCTTTTCATGTAAAATCGCACAAATTTTTTTTTTTTGCCCCAAGTGTTTTGTGAAAGATATTATTTATTTCAATAAGCAAATAAAGTTTTTTTTTTTCATCTAATGAATCAACAATTTGTGGTGTGATCAGTTTAATTTTCAAGAATGTTTTAACAGAAGTGAATTATTGATTCTCATCGGTCGAGTGATATACTACTTTCGTAAGTTAATATATTTTTTTTTAATTATTTAATGACAATTGTCCTTTTATTACCTATATTTATTTATTTCCATTATTATTTATTATAAATTTATGAAAATAAAATGAGAAATAAAAGAAACTTTAAATTTTGTTTTTCTCAACAGGTTTCAAGATATTTTGTTGATTCCTTTTAGAATAATCCATTCAAAAGTCAAAATGAAGGTGGGACTTTTAAAGAATTTTTTACACTTCTTTACACTTAGACAAGGCACAGTTATTATTGCCAAATTACAATTGGTAAGTTATAAAATAAATAAATTTTCAAAATTTCGCCTTCTTTTGCTAATATATAAAATTATTTTTTTTTAATATATTTGTTTTACAGTTAGTTTCTGGATATATCATAATATTTCTTGTCTTGGGTTTGTCACATGTGACGGGAATCGAAGTAATGATTGTCAGAGATACTGAGGATGCTTTAGAAAGAGAAGCACTTGAGGAAATTACGTCCAAACGTCTTAATAGCCAAAAATTGGAACTAGCGCACAAAAAAGCAATAGGTATTTTGAAAAAAGGAAAAATTATACAGAAAAAAAAATTTCATTTAATTTCTTGATATTCCTTTTTTTTACAGACGAAATGTTTGCAATGTATTTTGCACTTGTATTAACAGTCATTCATTTCATATCAGCATTATTATTGCTATATGGTGCTCTCATGGTAAAATTTATTCTTGTATTTATTTATTTAAGAAATATAAATATAATCCAATTATTAAATTATAATTACTTATGTTTACAGAACAATCGATTTTTAATGACTCCGTGGATGATGATGATGATGACAATAATCGTTTCATTATTTATAGCATTATTTCAAATAAAGGACGATTGTCCTTTTCTTGTTTTAATAGGAGGGAAATCTGACATAACCGATCGTATGTTATTTTAAAGTTTTTTTTAAAAAATATTTTCCTTCAATTAGAAATTTTTTTTTAAAAAACTTTATAATAAAATTTTTGTAAAAAATTAAAATACATAGTTTGATGTTTGGTTGACAATGAACTTTCTTTTTTCAGGGCTCGTTGTATTATTTTGTGCTGTAATCTCTATTTATATGTGGTATGTAGTTTATAGTACATTCAACAGTCTCGTGATTAAGAAGGGTATAATTCACGAAGTTCATGAGTCGCAAATAAAGTATGCGCTCCCTGTTTCTACTCAAGAGAAGAAGATGCATAACAGTAATGGAATTCCACAACCATATGACGTTTAAATATATATATATAGTGAAATATACTAATAAAAAACGATTTCACTGATGAGAAGGTAAAATTTAAAAAACATGGAAAAGAGAAAAAACCCCTTATCATTCAATGTCAATTGACAATTTAGTGATTTAGAAAAAGAATCATTTTGGTTTGATTATTTCTAACGACTTTAAAAAAAAAAAAATGGTGCTGGGCCTGTGTTCTGATGATGATGGGCCAATTTTGTTTAAAATAACTCATAAATATTTACTATTGCTCCTTCTCACTTGCCTAGTAAAAATTTAAGTCAGAGGATATGAATTTTTAAAATGACTTTGCGCTGTGAACAAAAAAACTTTAAAATAGACTCTTAAAAATGAAGATTTTTATTATTATTAAAAAAATTTATATTTTATGAACTGAGTTTCATATAGAAAAAACAAAGTGATGGAAACTATACCAAAATGCAGTAATCACACAGCTTATATTGCAACGTTACCAAAATAAAAAAAAAAAATATTTCAACTCCTAAATCAAATTAACTATAAATAAAACTACATATAATCGTGATAGGATATTAAATCCGTACATCGAAAGAAAAAAAAATGGAAATTAGTTAATTATTTTTTAAACAAGCGTTATATTTCACTAGATTATGAAATTTATATCTCCAATATATACCTTTAGTAAACTTGTAAAATACACTATCTATTAAAATTGATTTAATCAGTAAAATAACAATTAAGGCATAATGGTTTGTATTTTATATTTCAAAAAACACAACGTTCTGTGAAATTACAATCTTGCTATTTTATGGCAAAGTTCAGTGTATACACGTGTATAATAAATGTACGGAAACGTCTTTAAAAATTAAATACCTGCTTACTAATTCTGTCATAAACATCATTATGGATTATATTTATAAAATTTGTCAATTTTTTTGAAAGAAAAAAAAATATATATATATATAATTATATTAAATACAAATATTTAATATAATGTAATAGTTAATTGAATAATTTATATCATATTAAATATGAATGTTTAATATAATTTTAAATGTTAATAATTTAAATTTAATTAATTTACAAAACTTAAAATATAATGAATTTTAAAAATTCATTAGATACCGAATTTAATTGGTTGTCAATATTATATCTCGATTATCGAGTAAAATAAATTATATGTATATGACATGCATGTCAGATTTTCTAATTTTTCATAATTTGTACAAAAAATTCGTTGGCACTTTATGCTAAAATTATTTTTTTGCGTCATTTTTTTTTTAAATTCTTCAATTAGATAATAATTTTCGTAAATTATTTGTATATATATATATATGAGTTAATGTGCGATTTGTTGTTGTACTCAGTCTCTAAACATTCAATCTTTTCATCATACGAAACTTCATCGTTTTCTTTCGACTTTTAAGTCGTATATTCAGTTTCATTGAATTTATTTTTTGATCACAATTTTTTTTTTTGAGTTCTTGATTTAATAACTCGAAAACTTGGATCACTGAATTCACAGACAATCGAACTTACTTATTATGCGGCGTGACTTCTCGTAATTGCACTGACATTGTAGTGCGTATTTTTAAAATCGGTAATTTTGTCACATTAAACAAAAATAGTGACAAAGCATATATAAGGGATTCACGGATAGATTGTCCAAATTAAAAGTGCATTTTCTTCTCTTCTTTTTTAACATAATTCCAATCACATTTTGTCGTCAGTCATCTCAAGAAACTGCGCGTAAAAGTCTCTTGTACACTCCCCTTTATTATTAAACACAAATTTGTAGTAACTACCATCTGCGCATATAACTGAAATAAAATTTAATTTTTAGTTATTTATTATCAATTAAATTTTTGCTTATTTTATAAGATAAATCTTGAAAGGGTAATTAATATTACTGACCTATGATACTATTGCTATCTTTTCCAAATGCACACATGCATTGAGGTCCATCGGGAACTTGGAATTTACAAAAACTCCAACTAGAGCTGAAATACTTTGGCAAGAAAGTTGCAGATGCTAAGCTAGACTGTCGATTAAGTTTTGAATCCTCAACAGCAAAAACATGCACCGTGCCATGATCGCTTGCAACGCACATCCATGTTGAGTCGTGATTAAAATTTATACTATAAATTCAACATATATTATATAAATGTTAAATATTTAAAACAAAAAAGTAATATCATTCACTTTTGCACTCACCAATAAATATTCGCGTGATTTGTACCTCTTCTTAATTCATTAATTTTCATTCCACTTTGTGTGTCGAAAACTCTAATTAAAGTACCCTTTTCAGAAGCAGTAGCTAATCTTGTTCCTTGTAAGTTTAATGCTATACACGATAAAGGCGTTTCATGTGCTTCAATATTCAATGGTTGTTTTTCTGTATTCGCTAGATCGACAACTGCAAATTACAAATAAAATTTACATTTGAAAAATTATTTATATTCTTCAAATTCTTACCTTGAACGTGTCCATTTTTTCGACCAGGAAATGCGAGTAAAGAATTATTACTATTCGGACATAAAACACACAAACCTTTAGGATTAGGATTTGTTTCGAACACATGTAATTGTTGGGGATTTTGTGTGAAAGTGTAAACTTTAATAACTCCTTCCAAAATTACTACTATTCTGTCTCTTCTTAATTTTACTCCTTTTACAGGAGCATTGAAATCTAAAGTTATTGCCGGTGATTTCTTTAAATCATCCCAAATCGTTACTGAAAATATGTAAAATAATAATAATTATTATTATTAAAACGATTTTAAACAAAAAAAACTAAATATTAAATAATATAATTTTTCGGTACTTGAAATTATATTCTTAAAAAAATTAGTTTTTCTTTCACCTCTATTATTGGGATATAAAGATTTTGATCCTCCGCCTACTAATGCTAAATAATTGCATCTAAAAAGCATTTCAACATATCCTAATCCTCCATCTGTGAAATCGTGTCTTTCTTTCTCCTTCAGTGGGTCACAGTTGTAAACTCTGTAGCCATTTTCCATACCACAAGCGAAACAACCTATCAATATTCACACATGAACATTAAATACTGAGACTTAAATGATAACATTTATCTGTTTACTACAAACTAGTACGTAAGTCATATTTAATGACTTCTTAAATTAAAATTAAACGGAAGAAACAAACAATAAATTACAATCTAAAAAATCGTTCATTTTCAATAAAATGTTTTTAATTATTCAAATTAAAAATTCTACTTTTATTGAAAATAAAAATTATATAACACTAAAAGAGTAAAACTCTGTAATTAATTATTAACAGAGAAGAAAAAAAAACAAATTGAATTTATAATTAGAGGTTATGGCACAAGCAAAACAAGTTTCTAAGTTTTCTCAGGTAAAATTCAGCTGTTGTTCAAAATTATACAATGAAACATTTTAAGGAAAATTATCATTTTTCCAATATAGTTACTAAAATTATATGAATATAAATATTATATTATGGCATACTGTCAAATTTTTTATACCCCGATATAATTTACCTTGATCTTGGTTAAAACCGGCATATAGTAAGCCATTTTCATACGGATTTCCCGCAGTTAAGTTCATTTTATTAAAATGTACGTTTCACATTCAACATTAAATTTATTTTATTGAAGATTTTATCACATTTTCACCGGTTTATATTTAATCTTTATTTTTTGCGTGCGTACAAAATAACTTGGCATCTTGTCATTCTTGACAAACTGTCAACAAAATGGATACAATAGAAATTAATTTTAAAATGATTTTTTTGATTGGACATTAAACACCTATCCAAAATTTAATGTTTTCTCATTGGTTACATTATTATTGTAAAAACTCCAGCTGATAGTATTCTTTTGTATTTGAATTTTAATTGGAGTATTCTTTGTATATTTTCTTCTAATTGGAGGAATAAACGGAATGAGTTAAATGCGCATGCGTGTGAATTTTGCTTTTAAAAATGGTTGATGTAAAGTTTTTAACAGAGGTTGCAATTACCGCATGTGTTGAATAAGTTTTCAAGTTAAATAATAAATATAGTGTTTTAATAATGTAAAAAAAACGTACGTATTTTACTTTTTATTTAAGTTCAATATATAAAAAAAAGTGAAATAGTTGGAAGATTGGAATGTAACAGAATTTGTTCCATTTTTAGGTTAGAATTTTGTGAGAATATTTGTAAAAGTTTTATATATAAAAATATGCATTTTAAACGACTGCATACTTGTTGCACTGTTTTAAAAGAAAGAGCAATTAATGTAAAAGGAAAAAAACACAGCTCAAATTTATGGTTAGCAAGACAAATGAAAGATCCTTATGTTGAAAAATCAAAACAAGAGAATTATCGTTGTCGAAGTGCATTTAAACTTTTGGAAATAAATGAAAGGTAATAAAAAATTAATTTTTTAAACATAATTGTTAATTATTTATGTTTATTTTCGGAAAAATTTGAAAATTACATTTTTGAAATAGGTTAAATTTTTAGTTAGGTTACAAACATTTTTCGTAATACAAGTAATCTTCGTCTTTCTGTTTTCAAACACTTTTCGTTCTTCTATTAAGATTTATTAAATTGAAAATAATTTATTTTAATAACTTATAAAATATTCTGTAAAATGCGATATACAAAGTAGATTTAAAAAAAAGTTGACTTTTTGTCAGGTTCAACATTTTGTATCCTGGTATGGTTGTAGTAGATTGTGGTGCTGCTCCTGGAAGTTGGACGCAGGTTGCTGTAAAATTAACAAATGCCAATGGAGCTCTAAATGAATGTCCAAAAGGTTTAGTTTTTTCTATAGATAAACGAATTTTCCAATCAATTGAGGGAGCAGAAATTCTTGGAAATAGTGATTTTACACATCCTGATACACACAATAAACTTCGATTATTGTTAAAAGAATCATTAGTGGATTTAGTTATGTCTGATATGGCACCAAATGCTACAGGTGTTAAAAAATTAGATCATGATATTATAATTGATCTATCTTATTCGGCGATGAAATTTGCATTGCAATTTTCAAAACCAGGTTCATCTTTTTTAACAAAACTTTGGGATGGTGAAAAAACATCTCAATTGCAAAATGATTTAATGAAATTTTATAAAACTGTAAAATTTATTAGACCTAAAGCAACAAGAATTGATTCCACTGAACAATTTTTATTAGCTAGAGATTTTAAAGGACTAAAGTCCAGTTGAAAACAAATTGTCTAGTCTTTTGTGATTTAGTAATATAAAAGTGATTATTTGTGAAATTGGAGAAGAAGAAAAAAAATACAAAATCGCGTATATAATATATATGCAATGTACATCAATATATTTAGCTATAAATAATACAATAGTATTTAATACAATACAATCAATACATCTTTACGACAGAGTTAACACTTGCATCGCTTTTTACGCTGTATATACATTTTTTTTTTTCTTTAATAAAATTAATATGTACATAAATTAACGCACTTGACGTTAAAACAAAAATGAAATATAAAGTTACTGGCCGCAATGTCAAGTATGTACTAAATAATTTATTGAAAATTTACAATTATTTAATACAAATGAAAAAATAGACATTTTAAAATTAATATCTTGCATTTCAGCAAAATTTCTAAAAATTTTAAATAATTTTTTTTTCGACGCAAAACAAATAGAAGATTAAAAAAAAAACAAAATTGAATATTTTACAATTTGCAGAGGCCATAATTCTTTGGAACGTCACAAACGAAGGACGAAGATTACTTGTGAATCGATACATTAATACAGACACATTCTTTTTTTTTTTTTTTTTTTTTTATTTCAAAAAACACACATTAATCTCTAGTAACAATATTACTGATCAATTTTACAAATGATCATGTAGGTCAATTTTTCGCCACCTCTTGTTTGATTAATTAGACGAATTTTAATAATTAGAAAATTAAATCGAAAAATAATATATAGTACAATTTTGAGACGCTTGAGGAAAAATCGCAGTAATCTTTTCATTGGGATTTATATTGCAAAATAGGATCATGATGATCATATAAATAAAATAATACACTACATTCAGTCTATCAAGGTACTATTTTTTTTTTTGTACCAAACGCACACTCGTCCTTTTCTCTTCAGGGGGTAGCTTTTTTTTTTTTTTTTTTCTTTTTTTTCTGTTTTTATTTTGTTATGTACTTGTCAATTAATTTGACAGTAATCTACGCCTAACATCGATATCCATATTAAATTTAGTGGATTCTCGTACATCTCGACAATGCATGCACCTACCGCACTGAATACATTATACAATAATCTGTGCTCTTTATTTTAAATGCATATAATAAAATGACTATCAAACTGTAAAAATTTATTAGATACAGTCACAATTCTTGAAATTTTGTCACATTTTTAATAATAATTATTATGCCAAAATTTATAAGAGTAGCTACAATTTTACGAATAATTACTCTTTATATAATAATTTATTTCACTATATAGAATATATCGTAAGAGCACATTGATATAAGATAGAAATTTACTACAATATATTCAAATAGAAAACGTATTAAAGAAGCGGTAATCATGCAATATTTAAATTTTGTTAGTATACAAAATTTCGACGATTTTTGTTTTTTTTTTTGTTTTAAACATTTGATTTAGAAAATTTTATATAAAAAGACCTTCCTCGCAATCGATTCTGGTTATTCTCATTTTTTCAAAAATTGTATTTTATAATTTTTTTTTAATTTTAGAATTTTGAATCAATTATTTATACTTTGTTTTCAAAGTATTTTTAGATTTTTTTTATTATAATATAAAAATTAATAAGTTTTTCAAACTTTTTTTCAATGGAAAAATATAATTTTTGTTTGTTAATTTTGTTTATGGACTCTCTGTAGAAGGTCGAATATTTCTTTCCTTTTTTTTTAAATATATTTTCTCATGTAACAATGTACATGAATGAGACGTATGAATATTTCCTGTAATTAATTAATTCAAAAATTTTCAGGGGGCTGAATTTTATGTGGTCAAATTTTTATTTAGTCGAATGAATTTTTATTTGATAAAATTTTCATTTTTTGATTTGACGGAATTTTATTTATCCCTCTTGAAATTCAAAAGATTGTGGAGAATATTCATAAGTTCCAAATATGAATAAATATTTTTAAAAAAATCATTTAGAATTGCTATAACTACTTAAACGCAGTTTAGTCTACCTGTATGAATATTTGTATTAAACTTACAAAAAGATTGTTAGCTTTTATAAAATTTGGAATATACAAATAATTACTCTTACATGATGAAGCGTTATTTTAAATTTATGCTTAGTAAAAAATTGGATTTTTTTTTTTTTATATATTATTATGGAAGCATTCAAGTAGTAACAACAATCTCCTAAATGTCCAAATAAATTGGCTTCCATGTGCATTTTATTGTTGAATCCATTCTCTCTTCTTCAGCCATATATTCTTTCTCTCGAAAGGATATCCGTGATAGAACTGAATAACATCAATGTTGTGCAATGTCCTCGCAACTTTCGTCGTCTCCACTTTCTCCGATTCAAGTTTTCACTCGATCATTGTAGATTGACTTTTACGCGCGCACGCGTGTGTGTGTGTGTGTTTTTTTTATTATTTCTTTCGAAAACTACAATTAGTTTTCTTTATAAAAAAAAATTTGCATGAAATCTTTCTGAAATCACAGAAAAATTATGAGACTTTTTTTTTCGTGTCTTTATTTCTCGCTTTCGTGGCGAGAAGAAGACCGGACAGTATGAATTCCTAAACTCCGTTCTTGCGCAATCGCAAATTATCGAAGCAGACCCTCTCTCTCTCACGTGTTCCAGCTTCGAGGAATAGCTCATACTTATTTGGCACCGTTCTGAAAGACGTCGGAGCGGTTATCCACACTTTATTTTCGATTAAAGAAAAGCATCCCAGCTTTTATGTTTCTTTTATCCTTCAATAGATGAACGCATATTCTGAGAGAAGACTCTCTTTACTTCATGCGGTGGCAATTTTTCCGAGTAGAAATTTATTCTTCTCGAGGGAGAAACTCTGGATGACCTGGAACTCGCTTCTTTTTCTTGAGGATACCTTGGATCTAAACTTGGATCCCTAAGGAGAGGCATTCTTTTCCAGAATCTCAAGAGATTTTGATTTGAGGATGAAGAGGCTTGATCTCTTGCTGATGGAAATCGCCATCCAAGTTGTTTCTGATTAAATGGGAGATTATTTTTTGTATTACCCGATGAATTGGGATATTCCTCACGTGAAAAGGTGAATCTATCTTTAAATTCGGGACTGTGAATACTATTAACGTCATCGGAGGGAAATCGAACGTAACTTTGACGTGTTCTTTCGTTATTGGGAAATTTGACAAAATTTTGACCATTGCGATTTGAAGTTGGTCTGTAATTTCCAAAGTCAGACGATGGCTTTGGGTCAAGGTTGGCTGACTGTAATGGAAACTTGCTTTCGATGTTTAATGGTAGAATTCTCTTGCTATGAAAGTTTCCTTCTTGTTCTTCTTCTGTTGGACGAACGACGGGATCACGAAGACGAGCCGAGTGTGGAAGTGGCTTTGAAACCACAGGTGGTGGTTCAGTGGTAGTCAAATTGTATGATTCCTTGATTGACTGAAAATTAGTCTTAAGAAGCTGCCCATCTCGTTTCCTGCCATAAAGGTCCGAGCCACGATTATCCTGTGGCGAGAAGACGACCTCTGGTTCCGTAATGAGTTTTTTTTCGGGCTCAAAGAGTGCTTTCAAATCGTCTCTGTTCTGTTGGCTGATGGCTGTGGTGCTATTTGCAGAAACAGGTTCCGTGGAATTTTTCACCTTTCCACTATTTACGTCGAGAAGAGTCGTTTCCACGATGAAGTCTTTGTTGATGCTGACTTCACTCGATACGTTACTCTCGAGGTCCTCACCACCTCTCTCGGTGGTCGCAATGGAATCGCTTTCGATGTTAAAAAAAGTTGTTGTTTCCATTGGATAGTCATCTTTTGGTACTTGCGTTGTTGTTGTTGTATTTTTCTTCTTCTTTTTCTTACCAGATCGAATCAGGGTTTGATTCTCAATTGGAATTGTCATGCCTGTCTCCCCATGTTTGAGGATCTCGTCCTCGGATTCCCCGGAGTCTTCCTCTGATACTTGAGTTGTGTCCAAGTAATCCTGGTCCTCAAGATCCGGTTCAAATTCTTCCTCATAAACAACGTCAGTAGTTTCAATCGTCTCATTCTTCTTTGTACCTCGAATTGGTGACGCGTCGCTCTCGTTCTTCCAAGTTTCCATTTCTGAATCAATATCAACATTTATGATCTCCTTTCGAATTGGACTCTCGGTCATGTTCTCTATTCTAGTGTCACGTGCCATAGTTGTGCTTTCCTGTGAGTCCTCATCTAATTTAGTTGTTAAATATTCTTCCTTCGTTAAAAATTCATCTTTTGTGGAATTTTCCTCCTCATTCCAAGAATCTTCCGTTTGTATTGATTCTTCCTTTAAATCTGTACGATTAACAATTTTTTTTACTCCCAATGGAATCTTGTAATCAACAATGTCGGTGAACGTTTCGTTTGACTCGTCATTAAATATTGCTACGGGTACAACAGGTGATTCCTTGTCCTTCTGAACTGTGAAATTCGAATCAAGAAACAATGATTCTTCTTCTTCTTCTTCATTTTCATCTTCATTGGAAATTGTTTCATTCCTCACATTATAGTCAATGAATGATTCCTCTTTCTTTGTTTCCAGAGGTATTGCTTCAAGGGGAATTTCCTCCTCCTGTGAATTTGTTTCGCCTTTGTTTGTTTCTAAAAGAAGTGGAATATTTACTTGAATTGGACCTGTTGGTATCGACGATTGTTTTTTCTCATTAGAAGAACTTGTTTCCGATGATTGTCCCTTGCCTAATAATTTATTTAATTGTTGTAATACAAAATTATCATAGGCCTCCTGATCAATGTTGACAATTTTTTGACACCTTCCCATACTGTCTGCTTTATAGCCTTCGGCACAGGGTTCCAATTCAAGTTGTGGTGCTATAAATACACTTTTTGGCGTTATTCTTTTATTAGCGGTTGATGAATTTTGATCAGAATCAGAACCAGGTTGAGAACTTTGTAAAAGCCAAGCCTGCCAGGCTAAATTAACCGGTGAATCAAAATCCTGTCCCAATGATCTTCTATGTAATGACAGTGACGTTATATTTTCCTTTAATCTTTCTGGATTCACTGGAGCTGAATCAATAAGTTCCAATGATCCCAGAAAACCCAGGAAAAACAAAGTAATCCTCCAATGTTTGGCGGAACGTTTCAAATTGATTTTGATCATTTTTCCCTCTCGGACGTTGATCGTAGGCTTTAGATTTAGGTCACCTTCCCTCTATTAGACGACGCATTGATAGTGCCTGAAAATAAAGAAAAATATTTAGTTTATTTAATTTAAAAAATCTATTTTGTAAATTAAAATTATTGTTAAAGAAAACATTGAAATTTGAAAAAAAAACAGGAGCAATAAACTCTTGTGAATTCCAATTTCAAAATTCTTTTGTATTGAGTGGTGAAAGTAAATGCTAAAAATGAAGTAAACGAACAGAAAAGATGAAAAAGACAAAGTCATAAATCAGCTTGTAAATAAAATACAACATCAATTGTTTCACGCTCTTGCTTTCAAGGGATCAGTGTGCTTGAGTTGTAAAAGATGAAATTTACAAGTATAGGGATTTATTTTTTCAACTAATAAAATTTTTATGCGTGAAAATTTTAAACAAAAAAATTATTATTATTATTATGAATTATCAGGTTTAAACAATAAGAAAAGTAATTTTCGACAAATGTTGCATTTCAAGGCAATGTGCAATGACCCTAAAAGAAAATTGGAAGGTTATCGGGTTATCAGACATGTCTACAAGTTAAACTCATAATGAACAAAACAATATTATATAGAGGTTATTTTAATTGTTATTGACAACGGAAAAAATAAAGTTTTATTAAAAATTAATACAATTTCTAAAACAGTTGTTCAAAAAAAAAATATTTCTAATGTGAAACATACGTTGTTAAAAACACGTAATCATTTCTTGTTTCTTTCATCAAGAAAATTGTATTAATCACCTTCTCAGTATTTGATATTTCATAAATCTTTGTTTCTTTCTTTGTGAAAGAAAATAAAATGAATGTTCACTATATAGAATATCAAATTGTCTCAAAAATATTAAATCCCAAAACTTTATTTTGAAAAATAAAAAATATATTAGAAGAAGAAGAAGAAACAGTTTTATATTCCTGTGTGTTGAATAAATCGTAAATAATTTAATCCGAATAAATCTTATATATGCTAGGGAGGCAGAAAATAAAAAAGAATTAGGTCTTTGGCATTTGCCTGATTCTGCGGCGCCAGCAGACGTCCGTTAATGTGGCCTTGCGGTAGCGCCGCGCGTATACAATAAAAATACACCTCTATCCTGTTTCCAAACGTTTCGTATCATTCACTTTATATATATATATATATATACCAAGTGAAATATATATTTATTTCGATTTACAACTAATATAAATTTGTGATAAAAGTCGCTGGTAACTTGATATTTTATTGAGTGCTCAACTCAAGTTGTCGGTAATAATTAAAAAAAAAAGAGATCCTTTTTAACCAACGCACGAAAGAACCATATAGTTTCCCAAGAGGGATATATCTTTTTTTTTGAGAAAACCGGTCGTGACGTACGATCTCTGATCTTGATAAAGGGAAATAATCTTTATCGCAGGGTTCGCTATAAAATTTCAACTGCTTATGTCTCTCGGTGCGTATGTAAAAGTATTGGAAGCCAAATGATAGTAGTAGTACAATTTTCTTTCAAAGTAGAAAGAGATTTTATGTCCTTTCGAGGATGTATAACAGAAATTATCTTAAATTATTTATTTATTTCATGAAAAAAAAAAATTGAAAATTTATAACTAATTTAGATTAGCGTTTCCTTATTTTTTTTTGTTTGATATTTAATTAATTTTTGCTGACGATATTTTCTTTTAATAAATTTTTTATTACCGCATTTACTATGTGGTAAATGGATTTTTAATAATTTAAGAATCACGTTCATGACAGAAATTTTCAATTTGCGCTATTTACTCGTGCATAAGAGCTCAATAATCGTGAGAGATAAAGACCTTAAAGAAATCGTTGCAGCCTTCGTTAATAAAGTAGCTTGCCTTTAACCTTCGTAATCCTATCGATATAATAAAATTATCGAGTTGCCAATATCCAGTGAATGTCATAGGTGTTCAGAGGATGATATACGACCTGAATGTTGCATAAAGCATATATTTACTGAAACATTATTTATATTCTTTATATATATATATTTATGTACATAAAATGTATTTACACAGAGAGAGTTGAGTATGTTGCTAATAAGAGAGCATTTATATGTATTATGCTAAGTATTAGTAACTTGTGTGCAAAAGAAATTACAAAATATATTAATGTCAACTCTAATACATTTCTTTTATTACATGAATCTATAATATATAATATTGAATATTTAATTCATAAGCGACCTTTATTATAAATATTAGTATTTAGAAATTGTGAAAGGAAAAAAAAATATTAAAAACTACATTTCTCTTTTTCAGATTGACATGAATCCTATGTGATGTGTTTCGTCAAATGTGAGTAAAATTTAATATCAAATCATGTGAGATAAATTGTCATTAAAAGAAATATAAGCATAAGTTTTAGAAAGATCAATGAGCCTATTAGAATTATAATGTTTTCGAGTCGTAAAAAGTTAAATTTGAAATTTTAGAATTTCTCTGGCAAAACTGAATAATAAATTAGAGATGAGACATTGCATTAAGGAAACGAAGGGCTATTTTAATGTCCGATGAGAGAAATTTGTGTCAACCCCAGAGTAATATGAATAATTACATCAAAATTCCTTACTAATAATAAACTGAGCTCATATATATATATTTTCAAATAATTAGTTAATTGATCAATCAAGATTTATTTTTTTTTTTTATATTACTTTTTAATTATATTATTGGTTTTTTAAAGTTAATTTTTAAAGAATTGTTAATTAAAAAAATTCAACGGTATTTAATAAGTTTTTTTTATGGTTTTTTTTGTTGACGTTGAAAGTGACGTCAATCCCGGAACATATTGTCAACTCATAAAATCCATCAAAATGATTTAGCTACTAATCCCATTAAAGAATATTCACTTCTTTCATATAGTCATAATTTCCTTTTAAAATTACACAATATCTATATAATGTTGTCATAAGTTCGGATTAGAATAGAAAAATTAAAGGCCTAGAATTTTTTAAATTCAAGTTTGCTTATAATTTTTGAATGAAATATTTTCGGAATATGAAATTTTTAAAATTAAAAATGCAAAATACTTCCGGATTTTTAAGATATTTTACTGATAACAAGACCAGTGAACTAGAGTCGCGCATATTAGCACAAATTATGCGAGACTAATACAGTTTTCTCGTGTGAATAACATGAATATATATATATATATATATATATGTACATGCAAACCGCGTATGGAACCCGAGAGTTAGAAGCCTTTCGAAACGACAGCTCTAAGCGCATTCCGCGGGATTGTAATCGTGGCCTTTTCTCGGCTGATTACCTATCTCTTGCACAGAGCGACAGTGTGGCCAATTGCCAAGAGACCGACTCTCTGACCGATGTGCTCTAGTTATGGGAATTTTCATTAATCAAGCGCCCTTCTGCTTCATATTTTACTTTCTCCATATGTGGTGTAATCTAAAAACTACATCGAGAAAGTCTTATGTTAATATGAAAAATTCTATTAACAAATACGACCTTGAATTATATAAATTATAAGAAATAAGTTCCATTTTTTTTTTAATATAAACTATAGACAAATCAATGTAATTTGTCATAATATACTTTTTCTATAATAAAAGTCCATTGAAATAATAACAAATTTTCAGACAAATTGAATCGCATAACAGGATTTCTAGTTTTTCTTCACAGTTAGTGTTTATTTTTTTTTTTTGTTAATTTACCTCGAATTATAGGGTAATTTGAAAATATTAAGGTATAGAATCGGGAGTATTTTAGAACCAGTTCGAAACTTTCAAAACTGAAGCAATAAGTTTTGAAATACAAAAAATAACAGTTAGACAATTTTATTTTTTTTTGTTAATTTTTTGGATAATAAATAATTATATTAAAAATAAACTTCAACTTCCAATTGAAGAACACTGAAAAAAAATTCTAGTTAGAATAACCAGAATTCTAGTTAGAATAACCAGAATTCTGGTTAGCAGTTAGAATTATTCTAGTTAGAATAACCAGAATTCTAGTTAGAATAACTAGAATTCTAGTTAGAATAACCAGAATTCTAGTTAGAATAACCAGAATTCTGGTTAGCAGTTAGAATTATTCTAGTTAGAATAACCAGAATTCTAGTTAGAATAACCAGAATTCTAGTTAGAATAACCAGAATTCTGGTTAGCAGTTAGAATTATTCTAGTTAGAATAACCAGAATTCTGGTTAGCAGTTAGAATTATTCTAGTTAGAATAACCAGAATTCTAGTTAGAATAACCAGAATTCTAGTTAGAATAACTAGAATTCTAGTTAGAATAACCAGAATTTTAGTTAGAATAACCAGAATTCTGGTTAGCAGTTAGAATTATTCTAGTTAGAATAACCAGAATTCTAGTTAGAATAACCAGAATTCTAGTTAGAATAACTAGAATTCTAGTTAGAATAACCAGAATTTTAGTTAGAATAACCAGAATTCTGGTTAGCAGTTAGAATTATTCTAGTTAGAATAACCAGAATTCTAGTTAGAATAATCAGAATTCTAGTTAGAATAACCAGAATTCTGGTTAGCAGTTAGAATTATTCTAGTTAGAATAACCAGAATTCTGGTTAGGGTATATTTAACATTTTGATTCTGGTTAGGTTAACCAGAATTCTGGTTATTTTAACGAGAATTCTAGTTAATTCAACCAGAATTCTGGTTAACATAACTAGAAAGTAATGTTAAATATAGCCGAAACAGAATTTTTTTTTCAGTGAAGTTTTTCTATTTTATAAATGAGTCAATTTTTTTTTTACAACCTCGAGTTAAGACGTATATACCGAAAAAGGAATCCTTTGACGTAAATGCGAACCTTAGAAGTGATTTCTTTGAACGCTAATTGATGAACAAAATGACATACTTTGCTGAGAGAATCGTACCATATCTTGACAGTTGGAATTTCTAAAACAAAAAGGGAAACGACATATATATAATGAGGAAAAAAAAAAGTTTTTACTTTCAATTTGACTTAATGTGCGCGAAGATAATCAAATCCTTGAGTTTATGGTTCGTTTGAGAATGATAAAACTGCTATTAAAGAACCATGTATTGCGGGAAAGTC